AAATTACATCAACTCTAATTGACTTAAGTAATCTCAACATAAGACAATTTCCCTTTATTGTAATTCAGTTTTGAGATGTTATGAGTAATATTCTGTCGGCTATAAAAGTAGTAGTAAAAGAGGTGGAGGTGGAGGTGATGTTTTAGCTGCAGAGTGAGCAGAGAAGAAGAAATCACAGAGACTGAGTGCTGTGTTTAGACGGTGTGTGGTGGCTTCTCAGAAAGTCATTACCCTGACAGTGGTCGGCTTCTTCCTAAGGTGCTTCACTTGACAATCTGCCATAATGAAGCTGTGTCTACATCACAGTTTTTCTCTTCATTCATTCAGCAGTGATTGGCCACAGACGCATCACAGTCACTTACCACTCTAGTCTAGTCACAGTAGCATTTTCAAACAAAACAAAACAAGTATAGGCGAAAAAGCATTCAGTGAGAAAAATGTAAAATGATTGCAACAATCAAAATAGTAGGAACCCTCTTGAAGGACAAACCTCCCCGGGCGTGTGAAAATACAAACTGAGGAAACACACTCACTGCCCCCTGTATAAAAGTCATTACCCATCCTCCACTCTCCTGTTACAGGCACACTGCAGCTCATTTACACTCTACTCCAGGGCTCTCTGACAGTGTGTGTTTCTGTTTTTCTCTGCTGGACCTAATCTTTGTTGTGTGCATGAGTGTGTGTACATGTTGATTAGTGTAATTTTCCAGTGGTGCTGACATGCATTCATTGAGTAATTGGATATTTAGCCAATCATTGTGTATATCTGCACTATATACAGTTGTGAGTGAAAGTCAGGGCACCCATTTAAAAAAAGCATAGTTTATTTATTGAAAAAATAACCTTGATATTTATAGTCTCTCTGGTAAATAGGAAAAAAGACAATATTATCAGAAATCATTAATGCACAGTTACTTTTTATTTTATAAAAAGTGCAAAATTACAAAAACAAATGTTATTTTTTTGGCATGTGCAAATGTCAGGGCACCCTTCAGCATCAGTACCTTCAGTACTTAGTAAGACCCCCTCTGGAAGATATCACAGCTTGTAAACGCTTTTTATAGCCAACTACAAGTCTCTGGATTCTATCCTTTGGGATTTTCCCTCATTCTTCCTTGCAAAAGGATTCCAGTTCTACAATATTCTTGGGTCGTCTTGCATGCACAGCTCTTTTAAGAACAACCCACAGATTTTCAATGATGTTTAAGTCTGGAGACTGTGAAGGCCATTCCAAAACCTTCACCTTGCGTTTCTTGAGGTAGTCCATGGTGGATTTAGAGGTATGTTTAGGATCATTATCCTGCTGTAGAAACCATCCTCTTTTCAGCTTCAGCTTTTTTACAGATACTGTGATATTTGCCTCCAGAATTTGCTGGTATTTAACGGAATCCATTCTTCCCTCCACTCGAGCAGTGTTTCATGTCCCATTGGCTGCAACACAACCCCAAAGCATGATGGATCCACCCCCATATTTCACAGTTGACAAAGTGTTCTTTTCATGAAAAGCTGTTGCTTTTTTACTCCAAACATACCTTTGCTTATTGTGGCCAAAGAGTTCTATTTTAACTTCATCAGTCCACAGCACTTGTTTCCAGAAGTCATCAGGCTTCTCTAGATGCTGTGTTGCATATTTTTGTCGTTGTATTTTATGATGAGGACGCAGGAAAGGCTTTCTCCTGCAGACTCTTCCATGAAGGTCTTGTCTGTTCAAACATCACTGCACAGTGGAAGGGTGCACCACCACTCCTGTGTCTGCTAAATATTCTTGCAGGTCTTTTGAAGTCAAATGTGGGTTTTGATTTATTTTCCTGACTAGCAAACGAGCTGTTCTCTCTGAGATTTTACTTGGTCTTCCAGATCTCATCTTGACCTCCACAGTTCCCCTCACCTGCCATCTCTTAATTATACCTCGCACTGTGGAAACTGCAAGCTGGAAACACTTTGCTATCTTCTTGTAGCCCTCCCCTGCATTGTGGGCATCAATAACTCATTTTTTCTGTCTTACACAGCTTCTTAGAGGAACCCATGGTTGCTGGATGAATGCACAAGGTTTGTGGAGTTGAAACCCCTTAATTTGGCACCAGCTGGCGCTCCCTGATGAGAATTGTTGACACCAGCTTCAGGACTAACGAGCTGGTGAAAGTCTGAGCTTCTGAAAAGAATCTTTAAAGACCAGACACTTTAAAGCTCTCAGGGTGCCCTGAAATTTGCACATGCCAAAAAGATTATTTTTATTTTTGCAATTTTGTACTTTTTATTTAAAAAAAGTAACTGTGCATTAATAATTTCTGATAATATTGTCTTTTGTCCTATTTACCAGAGAGGCTATAAATATCAACGAATAGTAATAATTAAAAAAAAAAAAAAAAAAAAATTCCTTTTTATCGAGCAAACTGTTGACTTCCACCCTAGTGGGCTTCTTCTTAGGTAGGGTGGTAAAGTATGCTTGTCATGATAGAGGATACCTGAGCATACCCTTGTCATTTTTCTTCTTCCATTACCACACATATGGATAGAATTAAGTGCAGTGTACTACACTTTATACATTATTACTGATAGATGAGCAAAAATAAAATAAAAAGCAAAATAAAAAATGTAAACTTGAATTCATCACTTTAAGCTGAAATTGTATTAAAACTGTTACACTTACACCTACAAATTCAATATAAATTGGCTTAGACACTTTTTATAATGGGTTCAGTGTTTTTATAAAAACACATGATAACATGATGGAAACCTGTCACATGGCGTTGGCTCAAAGCTTATTATTTGACAATTAATATTAAACTGGATATGAAAGTACTTTTTTTAAACCTTCATTTAACCAGTTTAACCAGATTTACAAGGGTGACCTGGTCAAGAGGTCAGCAGCACATGCCATTATAAATACAAACACAATTTAAGGTAATACACTACAGACAATGAATATTTATAAATAATATAAATATGGACTAAAAACACCAGCATTGCTCAATGAATACTCACTGCCTAAAGAGTAGCGTGGAATGGAAAAAAGAAGAAAGAAACCAGTTATGAAATTTTTGGTTCTGTTCGTAACATGTTCCAATCTGTAGGGACAGCATAACAAAAAGCTTGTTTCCCCAATCAGACCGGCTGCAGAAACAAATGGGGGGGGGACATACTTTTTATTTAAACCAATATTTTATCTGCTTCAAGCTTAACGGCAACTTCCTGGCCACTCCTACAGTATTGAAATGTTATTTTCTCTCAGTAACAAGAAGCTGTAACATTACTGTGAAGCTGTGGTAATGAATTGTTATTCACGTCAACGTTATCACTCATGTTCCTGGGCAGAAGGGTCTCGCTGCTCGCTGCTGCTCCTGGTGCTCCCTAGCTGCTGTTGCTCCCTTCGCTAGCATGAATGTTTACTCTGGTGTGACTGTTGGCTTCAGTGCTTCGCTTCCTAAAAGTGGAGCTGTGTGGCGCTGGAGCTGCTTCCTGCTTGCTCCCATCAGAGGTCGCCTTACTTTTTTGGTGAACAAAAAAACCTCCTATATCCATTTTTAATAGAACGCCAATGCTTACCACTGAGTCCACCTTCTGCTGCGCCGAGTTCGTTGATGAATATTTGACCTTTGACTCGGTAAGCGGCCTGCCCCCCTTTACCTGTAATTGGCTAACACGTTGCCTTTGATCGATTGGATTGGTCCCACTGAGCAATAGATGGCTGTAAGACGACTTGTTTTTTTTAGACCTAATTTCAACCATCTAGATTCTGTATATTTTTAGATGGAATTAATACATTGCTCTTTAACCCATTTTTGATAACTATTTATTTAAAAAAGCAACTGTGAGTTGCATAACTGATCTCCAAGTACTTAACCAAAATAATTATGATAACCGTTGAGCAATATCCAGTGTAGACCTCTGTTAGCCGGCTAATCTAAACTTCGTCTAAACTTAGACATCTAAAAAACGTTCATTTTTAGACCTGTGGTGGCCTGATTTTAGACGTTTATTTTCCAACGTTTATAAGACCTCTTTTAGACCAAAAAATGCTTGGTGGGGTTGGATTGATTGATGTGTCAAGATAGATAGGATTAACTGAAGATGACTACTCTAATGGAAAAAAAAAACCAAATTAAATTAAAATAAAAGGGCCACAGAAAAAAAGAGCATAAGCAAAGGTTTCCTCAATTTCTGTAGCAGAGTACATGGGTGGATGGGTAGTTCTCTATACAGTTTCTTATTCACAGGCGATACTTTGATGAATGTGATACACAAGATTAAAGAAGCTTGGTTTTTTTTTTAGCTTTACTTGTTTATTTTTATTTTTTTCCCTACAAATTTTAGAAAATTAAACCAGTTTAACATACATTGTCTAGTTTTAGCAATATTTAGCAGCACACACTTCACGAGTTAGTATAAATTGGTGTTTAATCACCTGAATATCTATATTCACATAGAAAGAGGTCTTTTTATCTAGCAGTGGGTCCCACTGACAATTCTTCTTGGCCTTTCTAATCTCATTTGTCCTTAGATGCAGAGGGATTTGTGATAAGAAAATAGCTATAAAATGTTACAGATTATAGCAGGAAAGGGAAGAATAGTCAGTGGTTTAGTTAACACCTCCATCTATCAAATTTGGTAACATTGCTCAACTAAAATGTTTTTATCCTGAAAGCAATGCAGAGTAATATGTGTATACAACATGATTTGGGTGGGGGAGGGGTAGAGCATTTTTCTATATTTTTATCAGTACTGTCTTTAAAAGATGAATATTGAAAATGAAAAATGATAAATCTTCAACAGGGTTTTGTGAAAATAAACACACAAAAGAAAGTAGTCCTCTGCTCTCTCAAAATAAAAAGTAGCATGCCTCCACCTACTGTAAAATAGACATGTCTGAATAGTTATATTGTGAGTTTAAAATACAATATTGTCAAAATTTTATGTAACGTAAGGTGTGTGATATTTTGCGTTCAGAGAAACCGTTAACCCCAGCTCGACTACAACATCCTTTTCTACACTGCGACACCGATTTTGATGTTTATGTGACTGGAGTGTGCTTCCTGCAGCGAGGAGCTCAGGCCTACCTCATTTTTGCCTGGCAGGTCAGCTGCTCTGTGTTTCAGTCTGAAGCCGTTGGCTGCTACTGAACCGTTTGGCTCTTTTCTCTACTAGCGAGCAAACCTACAATCTAGACCCAACTGTCCATCCAGCTCATTTTTAAGGGGATTTATCATCATATATGCCCGTGTATCCAAAACACATCGGTCATTGGGGATTCCTAGCACCGGATGGCCGGGTCTGCAGGCCGTTATAACGCGTTTTCGAGGTTTAATTAGAGCTAGAAAACAACGGTGGTGGAGGAGGAGGAGATTCCATATTAGGAGCACAGAGGAGAAGGCACCCCCCTTGTGTGATTTGGAGCTTTTGGTGAGTGTTTACCGCCTTTTTTCACTGTTATTGCCATTATAAATTATACCTGAACGCGAAGTTAACACGTATGGTTGTATGTGCAAGGTTTGGGAGGGTTATTGCGCTGTTTTAACCGTTTATTTTAACATTTTCTCTTGGGTGTGGGGGATGGGCAGCGTCAGCGCGTGAGTAGGCGCGCGCGTACTGTGCATGTGTTCGGAGGGCAGTTCTCGTGGTCGGTTTGTGTTTGTGTGCGCGCCCTTCCTTCCTGCAACTGAAGCTAGCTTTGAAATAAACTCACTTAAGTAATATGTAGTTTCAACCACCTGATTTGAAATTGTTTTAATGCGTTACTGGTAACATGAATCTCTGTGACTCAACTGTCTAACTTTTTAGCCAACTATTTAATTTAATAAGTTTAGCTAATATAAATTCTTAAAAAAATTATCAAAGGTGAAGCCTAATTATTTTTCTGGCTGTTTAAATGCACTTTGTACCTGTTTTGAGACAAACTGTAAGTGCTTTCATAGTATTGCTAAAAATTAAAAAACAAATTTTAGAATTAAAAAAAAAAAGCATCTGTAGCTCCTGCAGCATAATCAGCACTAAATCATTTTAATAAAGATCTTGGAATGTCTGAGGACAGTGTTGCTGTTGATGATCATCCTTAATTTTCAACAAAGAATAGATAATGAGATATTCCCATGGGTACTGTCCATTATTATATAATATTATTTACTATATTCCAGTTGTACCAATCTTATTCAAAGGTTTCTAGAGTGCCTTGCAGCTGGTTACTCCAAAGCCATAGGCCCTGTGGGGGAAGGGTGACAACACATACACACACACACACACACACACACACACACACACACTCATACACACACATACACACACCCAAGAGGGCCACTTGCCAACCTTGTGGAGCTCAACTCAATGACACGATGTACCAGCCCTAGATAAGGGAAATGCGCTGAATCTGGTTAGCCAGAGTCAGGATTCACGGGCTAATTGGGTTATGGTATTTTTAGCTGTGAATTGGGATTCACATCAAAATTCTTTATGTTCAACATCTTCTGTCACCATTTACATCCACACAAGCCTCTGCTAGTGCTGTATGTTATGCTCTGTTTTGTGGAACTTGCATTGAAAGTAGGCTTTGTAAACAATAATGTAAGATAAGGTGTCCTGGTGACATACTGGAAGTCCTTGGAGTACATTACTACTACACTGAAGTGCACATAAATTTTGGCCGTTTATCTAAGGAAATGAAAAGGCTGTTAAAGCATTTCCTTAAATTATCTGATCTGGCAAGTTCAATAGTTTAGGTTTGATAACTTCAGCATATTTTCCTTTAAACGCATGCCATGGTAATTCTTTGTCTATTTTTTTCTCCCTCTTTGAATCAAGATCACTGACTACCATCCAGCTATTACCTCTTGCACAGGTGCACAACGTGTGTGTGTGTCAGCTGCCTGTCAGACTTTGTGGTGCATTCAAAAGCAACTTATAATAGTGGTGAGACAACACATATGTTGGCTTTCATTTAAACTCATACATTGAAAATGACTGTGCCTGTCAAGCAAGGTATTCCTGCCAAAAAGTCTGGAAAGGTATTCTGTGAACAATAATATAATTTCTGTTGGTCTGTTTTGCAGTTATGGCTCTTTAATTTTCCTTTTTTACCCCTTAACTAACCACGAATTTTGATGCAATTCAAAAAAAATTGTATGTGGATAAACAAGCGTAGCCTAGCTGAGCCGAAAGTCTGCCTTCTGTCAGGCATGTGAAGCAGCATTTCCTAAATTCACATCTGATTTAGGTATGGTTTTTTTTAGCACTTTTTTGGGCTCCATTATAGATGACTGGCATTGAGATCAGGGTCACACCTGAACAACAAATCATGTTTGACAAGGGAGGTTTTGTTCCTGTAAGTTGGCTTCATAAAGTCATAAACTAAATCAGAGGTAATTGAGTGTCAGGGTTGCAGTTTCCAATTTGAAGTGGAAACAGTTTCTTCATCAGACTCTAAAAATGTGCCTTTTTAAACTGACAACTCCAGTCTAAAAATTTGAACATAACTTTCAGAGAGGGATAGGTTTGTAACATGAACTCTTATAGCACTCTAACAGAAAGCTGTTTTTTTTTTATATTTAACTTCCAGCTTAAGCTCATGCCTTTCTTATCCATGGATCTTACTTCAAAGTAAAGCTACCTGCGTAAGTCATGCTGGTTTTTTGGTACAAGTCTATGCAGATCGTGATCACTTCACATGAGACACAAAATGAGGTTTTCTGCCCAAGACGGTGACCAAAAAAATGAGTTATTAACCTTTATAAACATTGGCTAGCCTTATTGTCAGCCAATTTCAAAGCCTAATTCAACATATCAACTATAATGGGTAAAATGGGTTATGGCTTTAAAAACAACTTCCCTGTCATTGTTTTAGGCCTGATTTTGATGTTTGTTTTGTAGCATTAAGCTACCACAATGTTTTTTGTTGTTTCAAATGCTCCTGTAAAAGGGTGTTTCTCACATCTAGTTTACACACAAGTGGGTCATATTCAAATACCAATGTGCCCTGACTGATATCTATCTCAAGATCTATTGTTCAGCTTAATGAATTCATGTCACTGCCTCCATAAGAATTGCAAGATCGTGGTTGGATGAATCTTTTCCTGAGAGGACAGTATTTTGTTCAGTTCTTGATGGCTATAAATGGATTCAAGCTTGATTTGGTTGAATGTGGAGCCTTGCAAACACTTGAAAGAAAGACTTTAATTCCCAAGTAACAAAAACGAAAGCCTATGAAATGATAAATGTTGTTAGACACAAACACTGAATGACAGAAGACCAATGCTGTTGTTGAATTGTGAAGATGTGTTTTTCCCCTGTCACAATCTCTCTGTGACTCTCACATATGGTTGGCACATGACTTTTAGGTATTGTTGCAGTTGCTCTTTGAGAGTTATTTCTGTAACACTCAGTTTAACGCTGTCTGCTCAGTATTTTGAAATGTGGATTAAATTTATAATAAATCACAAACTCATTACTCCAAATGCCACAGAAAGGTAGCAATAATACATGCTGTAGATGTCCTGATAACTATGGACTCCACTATGTTGTGGCTGGAGAAAAATGTTTTGATATTGGGGACTGCTAATGTTTGTAATGCTGTGGTTTGGCAGTGTTTGGGTCAGGTGAATGGAGAATAAATAAATGAAGTTGTACATTAGTTGTATATGGTTAAACTGGCATAGAACACTCATCAGGAGCATTGCATAATCACAGGGTTTCCCCTACATGCACTTGAACGTGGCGCAACGCCACGGCTAAATAAAAGCCACCACTCATTTAATGTCACAGCTAATTTATCCCCACCCCCCCCAACCCCCATTGACCCATTTAAACCGGGACAGCATGTACGCATTTCAACCTTCCAAGCAGGGAGGGCGGATGCGCATTTCTACTCGGAAAGCCGGGTGCATGTACGCATGTCTACCCTTGAAGTGCAGATACGTCATTTTATAACATTCTGTAGTTTTTTAATCATTTCTGGAGTCGTGGCGAATCAAATCATTATACCTGTCTGCCTCTGATAGGCTAATAAACGATTGGATTCATGCTCAGATCTTGCTACGTGCTTCGTGAGTACAGTAAACAATGACGGAGGCAGAGAGCAGTGTGAACAACCTCTTCATATTGAGTGCTTTGGCTCACACTATCGGCGATTTCTGTGAGTGTTGCATGACTTTGGGTGAGCACAGACATGAACACACCGTCAGCCACGTATTTATTCATTTATTTATTTTTTAGTTATTAGTGCTGCTTTTGTACTGGCACTATTCTGGGGCAGCTGCATACCCTTTCAACACTTTGTTTTTTATATTTACATTTGTATTGAATAGACACTTCATCATGACTGCCACTTGTTTTACTGAAAGCAAATAGTTTGTTATTCTCCAGTGCAGAGTCTTTCCTTTTTATTTATACAGCCGCTTTATTTCATTTGAGTTTGTTTGTTCAAAGTTTTCAAAAATGTGATGAAGGTTCGGAAAAATAAAAGATAGTTATCTTGAAAGCCACATGTATAAGCTCTCAAATACTTTAAAAATGTTGTTTCTATCTGCTACAGAGGCCGAGATATCAGCTTTTTTGTAAATCTCAACACTTCACTTTGGGTTAATAATAAGTTATCTTCAGCAAACTCACTGCTGATTTATAACCTCCACTAATTTGCGCAATGCACACATAATATAGCGTGTTTTGATGCAAGAGTGAGCAACCATGTACTAAAGAAGCAGTGTGAGCTTCTTTTAAGAATTACATACTTTAGATTCAACATCAATAAAGGGGAAGCTCTATTCTTGAGCTGTAAAGATAAACTTTACAGTGTTTGAAGCCTTGACTGGCTGTAATTAAGTTCTTGTACATTTTACAATCTGGGTAGCTGATAACATTGACTGGTATTTGACTGCCACTGGCCATGACTAAATTTTCTAGCAGGCCTGTTGACCTCAACTTAGTCCCCTTATATTTTGGTGTCACAGCCAAGTTTACCTTACCGTTCCTGACATCAGATACAGAAACAGAGCAATAAGGAAAATCTAATGTATCTGTTTCTATAAAGCGTCTAATTTCTTAAGCTTCTTTCACTAATTTGTTGTATAAGGAAACTGACCAAAAAACAAACTATAATCTAATGTAAACAGTGCTAACAAAGACAGTAATTGTAACAGGACACAAGAATCTAGTTATTTTCAGAGCAGGCAGCTGAGTCATGTTACGTACACAGGACACATTGATTAGTTGGCCTTATTAAATCACAGAGGAAGAGTGCTGGAGTAGTACAGTTATGTAACCATTGCTCGTCAGTGTTGTGAATTGAAGAGGGAAAGACAAAATGGACAAAGAAGTGGAGTGAGTGAAAATGTCTTCCTCAGTTAGGTAATGGCCTGACATGAGCTGGAGAGATGCACAAATGTGGAGCAGTCATTTGAATACTTGAGTACACTACTTGGACTGATAGAAGAAATAAAATACTGTGTTTTTGTAATGGTGCTGTGTGAGGGGGAAGGGTGGCAGAAATACTATTAACACATATCTATTTAATCCTCTGCAGTACAGTAACTGCAGAGAGTACGGCCTCTCAAATTAAAGTTATGTCACATCCTGCTGACACATTTTTGTTGAAGACCACACAGTGGGTTGTTGATGTGGTGTGTGAACTTTTTAATTCTTGATTATTGTATACTTCATTTAAATGTTTCAGCATGTCCTTGACAGGCAGAACTATCTTGTTTATATTGTGGACTTGAAGGATCATAAAGATACCTTACAATTGCCAGGGCTGCTTTACCAATCATAACTTATGTACATGCAGCAAGGCAGCTGTGGCTCAGGGGCAAGGTTGGTTGTCTTTTAATGGGAACTTTGGGAGTTTAGCTACTAGCCAGTGGTATTTGAGTGTTATCAGTTAATGCTGATAGGTGCTCTTCAGAGCAGCGTCTGCCATCAGTGTATGAATACAATGTGAATGGGTGAATGTGACAGTTAATGTAGAGGTGCTTTTAATGGTCAGAAGTAGGGGTGTCCCAATACAACTTTTTTATGTCCGATACGATACTGATATTGTAGCCTTTAGTACTGGCTGATACTGATATTGATCTGATATTGCACAAAATTGTGCATGACAAATTTTGCACTCAGCTGCAATGTCTCTTTCAGACTTGAACAAAAAATACTGCCACACAGTTGACATCACTCCTACTCCTTGCTATTTTATTAGTTCCTCTGTAGATACTGTCGTTGTGATCAGGTAAGCTCTGCATGCTGGATCTGGGTGCTGCTAGATAGAGGTGCTGGAGCATAGTCTGGAATGGACTGCTTGTATCAGAGTGCTGATATCGGAGATTTTAGATGCAGGCCGAAAATGTGATATTCGTTTCATTGCTGATATAGGACCAATAGACAATATCGATATCGTATTGGAACACCCCTAGTCAGAAGACTAGAGAAACTGCTTGATAAACACAGTCCATTTCTTATTTGTGTATTGAGTTTGGAAAAGGTGAAAACTAAAGTGGGATTATTGATAGAGTAAGATGAGTATTGCAACATTTACTGGTGCTTTGCACATGCAAACACAGATAGCATTAGCTGCCACTGCTTTAAAAGAGTTTTGTCTTTTCAGAATTGTGTTACTACAAACTATTACTATGTTGACGTGTCCTAGGATTGTTAGTAACAAATTCAAAATTTTAGGATATCAAAATATTGCTACACCCAGGGGTGTCGCTGGCCTAAAAGTCAATGTACAGAAGTTGCGTGTCAAGGATTGGGCCGGCATATGATTCTGGCCTGCGGCGTCTTTTTAGCATGTGAGTCTTTGCTTTCTTTTCCCATTTCCTGCGGTGTCCACTGTCTTGTCTTCTCTTAATGAAGGCAATAAAGCCCCAAAATACACATTTGAAATCACAATAACAAGTCCATGATGCAATATTATATCGCAATGTTAAAAAATACCCCCACCAACAGCAACAACAACAAACGAAGATTTGGAGAAAAGTGTCGTGTACAGCACTAAGCAGCTTTAAAAGTCAGCCATCCAGGGTGAGTGAGATCCACTGTGCTTTTTTGAGGCGTGCAAGTCTTGTCTGAAGCGCTCTGGAGGTCACGTTCATTGTGTGGACAAACAGACAAAGCTTGCAGGTTTGGTGCTTTTTAGTTTATCTGCTGAGAATAAATAACATTGTAGGAATAGTAAAGATCTGTGTGCTCAAACAGGTTTGGAGGAGTAGATATTTGAGGCACTCTCTGTCTCTCTCTCTCTCTCTCTCTCTCTCTCTCTCTCTCTCACACACACACACACACACACACACACACACACACACACACACACACTCATAGCCATATTTTGTTCACACTCAGGTCTCCTTACATGCACACTGAGACCTGCTTATACACACATACTCAGTTGACAGCAGTCACATTGTGTGTATGTGTGCAGCAACCCCAGGGGTCAAGTTCAACATTGTGAGGAATGTGTCTGTGCAGGGCGGCCCCTCCCCCACTCTACCCACAAGGCTTTGAAGTTTACAAGCCTGCAGCGCCTTTCCCCCTCTGCTGCAGAGACCAAGGGTGATTATTTGTGCCCGTCTCCCGTCCCACCCTTAAGGTGGTCATATAAATGAGGTTGTATTTTGCAAGGCTTGTGATGCCTTGTTTGTGATAATATGTTAGTGACAAAATGATTTTGACTTTTGAATAAATTTTGTGAATTTCCCAGTTTGGGATCTATCTGTCTGTCTGTCTGTCTGTCTGTTTGCTGAAATGTGTATTGTCTTTTTAACCAATTTAGTGTGTTATTTTATGCCCCATGTATCTTAATAATCATTTCCTGTTGTTTGTTTTTTTATGACTGTGTGGTACAAACATTATCACAAATTGCCCCTGTGGGAATTGCAATAATCAAGAATAGCAGCCTTCTGGATTTATCCAGAATCTTGCATTTTCTGACCCGAAGAGTTGACCTACATTAATAATTGATATCCTTAAAAACACTTTAAAGGCATGAGGATGACAAGCTGTGTAGTGATCCTAGGAGTAGTTTAGGACTTGTACAGGCTGAAATTTTACATAGTGTTTTTGTAGAGGTGAAAATGAATCTGAAGCACTTTAAAGTAAGACATGACGTGTGTCCAGCAAGGACCACAGAGAATACAGTAGGATCTGGCTTTAAACAGCACTGTCTTTTGAACACAGTGATCAGTAGCAGGGAACAATGTTTTTTCTCTCTCTCTCTCTCTTTCTCTCTCTCTCTATGCATTGACGTGGTTATCAGCATGGTCTGTCTCTATCATTGAAACTTTCTTGTTATCCAAAGTTAATCTAAATCAGGACTCTGTTAAAAAAAACCAAAACCAAATCTAGTCGGTGATGCTGCCCAACATTCTGTGGCAGAAATGAATAACTGTCTGTTATTAGGAAGGTTAAAAGTTTTTCCTTTATTGTTGGGCTGAATCACTTGGTTATTGCAGTTTTGGCATGCTCATGAGCAATGCGATATGTTGCAGGATGTGTGATGACAGTCAAATGCCTCACATGACTCTAAATTTAAACTTGCACACAGCGCTGCTGCCTTAACAGGTTCAAAGAATGGACTGCCTCTTTACATTGTGGGAACACTGACAATTGTCACCAACAGGACCATTTAGGCCCGATCCACATGGAAATTAATTCAGGATTAAATGCTAAAGTTTTTAGTCATGTCGGTGTTTCATCCACTCAGAAACAGCGTTTTGGGTGACTGTAAATGGTAATTTTTGAAAACAGATCCCAGAGTGCATAAATCCGTACACAACTACTGTTACGTCTCTGTGAGGACACCTATGTGTCTGTATGTTTCTTTACACTACTACGTCACACACATAGACTGTATATAGAATGGACGCCGTATGCCTCCTCGCTGGATGAAGCCACTCCGAGAACAGCACACTCTGGCGACGGGCTGCAGTATAGGTCATAAATCCTGCCTCTGCTAGCAATACTTATGGGCTGTGGACAAACTTTACAAAGTAATTACACAGAACATTAATCTTTTTCACCCTACTTGCGATGTTGACATGTAGTTACAGTAAAACTGGTTTGTGCTCAAGTCCTCTTTTTTTCTGTACAGCTTCATTTTTAAAAGTTATTAGGGGGTTCAAGGTTTCTATGATTGACACCTGATACAGCCTATGGGCATACAAAGATTGCGTAGCTCACCCGGGGGATACGCTGTTTGAGCCGAGCGTCATCGCAGCGAATCTTGGCACCTCTCCCGCTGAATGCGAACAATGCTACTGCGCAAGTGGTGGAGTGCATTCAATGTGATTGCGCGATGTTGGTTTCAGGAAATGGAGAGAAAACGCGAAATTACTCTTTACTTACTTTTTGGCTTCAAATCTGTATACTGTCGGATTTCGGAACCAAGTTGTCCATAGTATATACTGTCTATGGTTACACAGCTTTACTCTTTTAAGACGCCTGCACAGAACTGAACTGCATACACCACAAAACCTTCATACGCATGCTCCGTACTCTTCTTCTGTCTTCTGGAGCATTTCCGGGACAGTGTTACATTGCTACTTGCTGGCTTGGCAAGCACACTTAATTCTTTTCAGTGGTTTTCAGTGGAAGCAATATATTGTTTTCATCTCCGTATGGACAGGACCTTAGTCTTAACTTTAATGTCGACACCTTAAACACATTAGAAGTGTAGTGTTGTAAAGTATGCAAACAAAGATAGTGAGAGCTTGGCTGAGAAGAAGTTACTGTTTCTGGGGGGCTGTCCTTGTGAAATCATAGCCACCCAAGTATTTTTCCAACCATTTACACATTTTCCACTTTTGTTAGCTGTTTATGACAGCAGTTTTTGAAAGATAAACTAGTCTGCATTTGCTCTTTGCACATGTTTGTGTGTGAATTCTGTAGCAAGCTGTACAGTGGTGAGTTTTGTTAACTGCTTTGACTTCAGTGTTATGTCTCATGTTGAAGGTGAACCTCTTGCTTGTTGCTGTATATTCTTTTCCACAGTGTCTTAGTTTTGCAATGTTGATAATAACCTTACTGATAGGTGGCTTACCTGACAACAAGTAAAATGTTTTAAAAATAGGAGTTATGTTGTTAGGGCTACCAGTATCTGGTAGGATTTCAGCCTCTCCCGGGAATAGAGACTTGATGTTGCGGTCAAGTACAAATGGATTTATCCACTGTGGGTTTTAGCAGTTACAAACTCAAATGCAATATTGTAGCTGTAGGTTATAATTTTGTTCTTTGCCTGGCTAAAGACTACATGCCACACACCAATTCCCATAACTCTTTAACTGTTCCGTCTTCTTCTAGAAAATCAGACATGAGAATCGTTTTCACTCATCTGCATCAAAAATGTATGGGTCATAAAGATGTGTCCCATTCACTAATGGTAATTTAGCAGCATAAATTATTTTAAAGCTGGAGGATAAACTGTCCTAGTACACTGACATCATCACTAGCTAACATCGCAACTGCAAGATAACTGAGGATAGCCGCGACAATTGCAGTCACGTTGCGCTTTTCCAATGTGTTCATGAACAAATAACCCCTCTATTGTTTTTCTCAAGTTTCATCTCACAATTCTGCCAGGCAAAGAACAAAATTATAACCTACAGCTACAATATTGCATTTGAGTTTGTAACGGCTAAAACCCACAGGCTTCTAAATGGCTGCACTCCAATCCAGCATGGCAGGTGGATCAAATACACAAGCATTATAATCAATGTGTGTGATTCCACACAATTCTGTCGTCACAGTGCATCAATTCAGTGCATGAGCAGCAGTGGAAGTTGTGTGTGGCTAAAGAATAAAATATTCGGTTAATTTTCAACATGAAATAAAGTCAATACTAGGGCTGTAACGATACACTAATCTTGCGATACGATACGATACGATATATTTGGCTCACGATACGATATATATCACGATATTCCGCTCACGATACGATTCGATACAATTCGATACACTTACATCATTTTCTGAAACATTTGAAAGTGAAAGAGTGATTTTGTTAACATCTTGTGAGTGTTCCATTGACTTGGATTGAATATTAACAATATATGGCTCTGACTGGCAACTTGCAAATGCTGGACAAAATGAATCAAAGATGTGATGAGAACATTAGTTTCATTTATTGAAACTCAGTGCAAATATTAGCTTTCAAGCTTATATACAATACTGAACGTGAGGTAGCTATTAAAATTGTACCCATCTCTTAGCAGACTAGCATAAGGCCTGTAAACTCTGACCAACAAGTGAACACTAAACACAAAAACTCTCCACATAACTGCAGACCAAGTGATCTACATTCTCTTCAGATTTTTGTTCAGGAATAGAATCTAATCAACGTGCTCTGGGAGAAGTGCACTTCTCTGAGCAGTGATGATATCGCCGGCGGTGGAGAAAACCCTTTCTGAGGAGACACTAGTAGCAGGAATGCAAAGGTGTCTCTTAGCAAGCTTTGACAAGAGTGGATACTCAAACTGGTGCTCCTTCCACCAGACCAGTGGGTCTTCTTTCACTTCCAAGAGATCTGCCTGCTTGTAGCGGGTCATCTGCTCCTTGGCTTCATCCTCTTGCTTATTTGTCTTGGATGGTGCTACACCACCTCCTCCATAACATTCACCAAGAAGGGCAGCCAGTGGACAAGATGGCCTTGGATTCCTGGGTCGAGGACCCTGACCTTCAAATAAATAAACAATAAAAACAAAAACCCATTAAATATGAATAGTTAAGCACATTCTATAAGTCCTACACAGTGGTTCCAGACAACACAGTGCACTTCATTGGATAACGATGGGTGATACTGATCTTGACTGTTCTCTCCCTTCTTGAATAGCTCACCATCATCTACAGCCTCTTCTTCGGATGACATCCCCTCATCATCAGTTCTAGCGTTTTCTGTCCTTTCTTCCTTCACATTCTACATCAAATGAATCAACATGAAATGAAATTCATGAGCTTTTACTCCAAAAAACTTTTAATTACTATATTTAATAACTATGCCATTAAAATTGTTAACATAGTATTTATACTTTTTAAACTATTTAATATTTATCCATTTTAAACTGTTAATAGTATTTTTGCTTTTTAAACAATCAAATATGTACCCATTTTAAACTGTTAACATTGTAGGATTTGCCTTTTAAACTTTGAACAATGTATTATTTAGGCATATGCTTAGTTACTCTCTGGATTGCCTTACCTCAGATGGCTGCATGCTCAGTCTTGCAGCCTGAACAATCAGTTCATCATAAACTTCCTGTCTTTCGTCCTCAGTCAGGAAGGGAAGACTTTTGCAGAGAGAACGCTGCCTCCTCAGCTGCTACAGTCATATTCGCCGCGTTGTCAGTTACAATCACTGGATCCTTCTCCGTGATTTCCCACTCAGCGAGGGCCTTTCGCAGAAGTTCTGCAAGGTTCTGTCCGGTGTGGCTCTCGGGCATGTCCCTAGTTTGTAACACATAGGTAACAAGCTCCCATTCTTCGTTTATAAAGTGGGCCGTGACGGTGACATATGCCTCTGTTGTTCGCGAGGTCCACCCGTCGCACGTCAGGGCAACTCTCTCCGCACTGGCCAGGGAGGCTTTGACGTGTGCCTTCGTCTCAGCGTACAACTTTGGCACACAAACATTAGTGAGGTGTTGGCGGCTAACGATAGGATAGCGGGGCTCCATCGCGTTCACCATGCGTCTGAAGCCGGTGTTTTCCACCACCGAATAAGGTCTCAAATCCTGACGAATAAAGTAGGCGATGGACTCTGTAATTTTTTGCGCCCTCGGCGAAGATGCTGGGAACTTGTGGCACCAACTGCTGTCACTGCCCAGCGTGGTTTGTTTCGGGTCACGCGGCTCGCCCCGCAGCTTCTTGGGCTCAGTGTCAGGTAGCATTACCTTGTCCGGGTGGTGAGGTTTTAAGTGGGCTCGCAGGTTGGTGGTATTCCCAGAGTACTTCACATTTGTGTGGCAAAGCTTACAAACCGCCATAGTTTTGTCCAAATTGTCGCTCTCCTGCTTGTTTTTGAATCCAAAATGCTCCCATACATCTGCTTTTAAGCATGCAGGTGCTGGATTTATATTCGCCGCCATTCTCCTGAATCTCTCAGCTCAAACCGGATGAGAAAGGTGCCGGCGTTTGCGTAATTAGACATGCGCTACAGCGACACTAGCGGCTGGCGGACCTAATTGCACATCCTGCGCGTATCGATACTCGCGGCTGAAAAATCGATACTCTCTGGGGAAACAAAATATCGATATATATCGCAGAATCGATAAAATCGCTCAGCACTAGTCAATACATTGAAATGTTCTTCACTTGATAATAGGAGAGGCCAGGGTTGTGGGATGTGGGTGTTTGTATACACCGCCGTTTATATACACCGATCGGCGGATCTCATATAATGTCTCACAGGGAAACACGTGAGATCTTGTCCAGTCTCGTGGGAAATAATGGTAATATAGCAAGCGCTTCTTCTCTGGTTTGCGGTGGTGGATCAGATCCGATGTGCGCTATATGCTTGTGTATTTGATCCACCTGCTGGTCTGGAGTGGAGCCATTCCGAATCCAGTGGAATCCCCGGGTAAGGCACACACATACACATGAAGGTATACAGTGGCTCTCTGGCTCCTATTGCAATGGTTCCATGAGACAAAAAAAATCGTTGCACAGAATGATTTTCTTGTAGCATTTGTGACATATCTGTTGCACTTAATAAATGCATTTGATCACCATTGTGAAGAAGTTTTGGATGAACACTGAAAGAGATTTAAAAAATGAGATAAAGAGGACACAAGACTACATTTAAGTGGATGTTACTATTGTTACTTTTTAGCAGGTATTTTTTTTTTCCTCATACAACTCCCAGTGTCACTTTCTGGTCCTCTGTTTGACACGGTGTGTTGAAAGGCTGTTTTCTCTTGTAGTTGCAATAAAATTTAAGAGGTATTTTTCAACTGAGGCCATATTTTCTCAGATTTGTGTGTGCTTGACTGATCAGTTTCTGAAACTGGTGCAGTATTTAGGGAGAGCGGAGCAGCCACCAGCTGCCAAGGAAGCTACAGCATAGTTTCACGGAGCAATTTTGTGCTTTGGTTATGGAGGACTGATTCCTGTTTTTGTTGCTGTGCACTCTTTTGGAGAGTGATCTCTATTTAGTGAAGAACCCAAGTTTGTGCAAGTTTGAAGCTTTGATGAGGGCATGATAATGAAGCAGCTTTATTTCTGTGTTAGCTCTGATTCTCTGCCTCATCAACACTTTAAGGGCCAATATTTACAAAACTTGCATATCATTTCATCAGGAAACACGTATGTAAACTGCCTGTGGGGTGTATTTATGTTGTAATGTGTATTTTAATTAGGAACAATTTGAGTACAAATACAACACAAAGGCTGTAAGGGTTACAGTCTAAAATACAACAATGGTGTTTTGTCCAACAGTTGAGTCAGAACATGGCTTTAGATTTTGGACCTCAGGTTTTGGCTCTCGGACACAGAATATAAACCACTGAGATTTGTGTTTATTTTTAACAGCTGAAAATAGGACACTGCAATATTGAAGTTGGGCTGTTTGATTGGTTCTTTCCTTCTTGAATGGATTAGAATTTATCTAGCAGGTATTTGTTGATTTCTTTGCCAAAGCTAATGTCAGACCAACAGTTATGGTAGCCTTCACATTTGTGTCAATGATACCCTTGTGAAATATAGAAGCCAAGCATTTGAACAGGTTGAGTATGTTCCATCATATTGATGCAGATGTCTAATTCTAAAACTCTTTACAGTTAGTTACAAGTTACAACTCCTCCATTTTTATTTTGATCTCTTTGTTGCTGTAGCTCACTCCAACACCCCAGCCTCCTCCGTATGTGCTCTAATTTCTAATTTCTATGATTGTTCATTTAGCTAGAATCTACTGCCCATGAGCTGAAGGCATAATCCTCTTGACAAAGTTCTTGTCACTGCTATCACTCCTATAGCCTTTTCTGCAAAATCTGAATGTAATCCTTCTCTGGAAATGGTGAGGTTCTTGATGTATGTGTCTCTGAATGTCAAGAACTACGTTTTGTTAAAGGAAGCCTCTGTTTGCTTTCTGACCATTAAAAATCATTGTTTACGACGAGTGTCTGTCCCTCTGTTGCTTAAAAGAGGGAAAAGGAGAGACACTGGGCATTCCTCAGCTTCCAGGACAGGGCTGACCCACCAACACTGGAATGCCTTTCTGAAGCTGCAATATGTTTGCACATAATTGAGTAATGTAATACCAAACTGGTTGTGTGGCCTTTGGCAGAGCTGCTTTTGTCCAACATGTTTGAGTATGCCACAAGGATGTCCGTGAGTTTGTTTTGAGATGTAAATCTGAGAATGAGGCTAATTTTCCAAATAACGATTTTTTTTTTTCAAATTAAAGGTGGGGTACGCAGGACTCTGTTAAAGATGTATCTTTTTTGTGGTGTATATACAGAAAACCTTTCAATATCAGTCAATAGCTATAAGTTATTGGTGACATTTGGTAATAAGCCATGTGCCGATATAAAAAAATTTGATATCACGATATTGGTGGCCCAAAATATCACGATTCACGATAGTAGCACTATATTAGCGCATTGCTTTTAACGTTATTAAAAATGGCAAAAAACTGCTAAATCACTTCTCTGTGCACAGCATGACACACACAAACAATATGAGCAAGAGGCAGCTAACGCAACGTTGGGAGCGTTCGCTGTTTGGAGCTAAAGTTAGCAGAAACATCACGAACGTTGTCAATAATAAGCAGTAGAGTAGACCAAACTTGTCGCGGTCATGTTGTTTTTACCTTGATTTGGGCGAACGATGCTGGATGGTGTTCACAGATGTGGGCACGTTGGTTTAAAGTGATAGACAAAGGCGCTGCAACTTCCTTACGGCATAACCTGCAGATTGGTGTCAGGTTTACCTGCTCCGTCTGTTTTGTGAAGCCGTAAAATGTCCATACTGCAGACAAAACCTTTTTATATATATATATATATATAACCTTTTAATAGGAGGATACAGCCGAGGCGTTTTGTCATTCTTGGTCTCCGACTGTTCTTGGTCCGGTGTTATGCCGTAGAATGCACCCCTGACGGGAGCGCGGTTGAAAGTAAATAAGGCGAAATAATCCAAGTTTTCCTTACCGTTGGATAGATTCAAAAGCGTGTGCCTTTAATGATTTCATTCAGACTATTCAGATAAGCTGAAAATAGGCCTGTCACGATTACAAATTTTGCTGGGCGATAATTGTGCTACAAATTATTGCCGAAAAACGATATTATTGACACTGTTTTTTAAATTATAGATAATGATATTAAATGGCATAATAATGCGAGTACACCCTGTCAAAAGTGATAAACTTTAATTTCACCCACGACGAAGACGTAACGTTGACGAGCTAAACATAAGTCGGAGATGACTAAAATGTGACGAGACGAAAGTGCGTTTACGTTGATGGGACGAGACGAAAATGACGAACAGAGTTGCAAAACTCAGTCAGTTAAACGCTAAACATATAGGAGCAGCTTCAGTCCGCTCTGACAGCTCTCATCAGCCTGCTGTGCTCCTCCAACACACAGACACACACACGCGCGTGCGGGCACACACACGTGGAGTTTTGTGGTTGACGAAAACAAAACTGGTTTAAAGCCGAAATATTCCCACACTTGGGCTGTTGCGTTCGGTTTAGACACCAAAGCTGTCGTGTTCATTCTGTTAGCTTGCTTTTCACTCACGACGCTCACTTGCAGCACTGTATCCAAAAGTCTGTGTCCGTGTGCCTGTGCGCGCCTACGTGTACCTGTGCGCGCGCCCCCCCGTGACAAAGATACTGAATGACTGACAGGAGGGTTCACTAACTCCGTTCATTCCGCGATAGAGCCAACGCCCCCAGGTGCCGAGAACAATGCGCAGAGTGAGACCTCTTCTCTCATCCAGCGTGTTTGGTAGCGAGAGAGGAGGAAAACAAACGCATGTCAATTATCGAGGCTGGCCAAATTACCGACCTCGTTTTTATTTACCGAGCGATAAGGCGATTTATTGATTATCGCGACAGGCCTAGCTGAAAACAATAGCCCTCTGATTCGAAATATTTGCTGTCCCAAAAATATAATGCTCTCTACCTTGACAGCTTACTGTACAGTTTATGTACCAAAGTACATCTCTATATATGCATTTTTGGGACACATAAAAACAGAATGAAAGTTTGCTGCTCCATTTGACATGTTGTCATGATCCAATACTCGTGTTTTTCAAAATATCAGATCATATCTCCTCAACTTTAAGAAGCTAATGAGCGGATGTGATGCATTCTACGGCAGGGGTGCATTCTAAGGCACAGTTGGAAGTTGGTTGGAAGTTGGAACGTGCGTCAACTTTTTTAAAATTCTTCAAACTGTGTCCAGTTCACAGAGTGGACGCGCTCCAACAGTGCTTTGGGGGGCCGCAATGCATTGTGGGTGGCTACGTATTTTGTTGTACAATTTCTTCATTTTCTCTTTTAATGTTCCCGTTTTTGTTAGGCTGGCATTAATGTACTTAATTCGACAGTTTGTTTTGGATATGTGACTATTTTTGTGGTGGTTTGTTTGTATATTTTGCTACAGAGGCTTTGGTACCGTTGATAAGACTACAAGCGGGTTAGGTTAGTAAGTACTCGGGTTCACTTGCCTCCGCTGATAGACGCTGCCACTCGTCTTTAAATTATAATTGTGGAACGATTATTACAGTACCCTACGATTTCATCATCGCGGCCGTTAAATATCGCATATCGTGATCAAATTGTATATTGGCACATCCCTATTGGTAATATAACGATATCGCTGTTTTTGTTATGTCTGCAATTTGTCTCACAGACAAATTGCTCAAATTTTTGAGCAGCCTGTTCTTTCTGAATGTAAACAAAGCCGTTCTCCGACTCCCCCAACCTGATTGGTTGTGAGGCAGACGCCGCTCCTCTCTGTCGTTCATTAGCCCTAACAAAAATTAGCGTGCTACAATATTGGACAGTAGTAACCAACCAGAAAGTAAGGGGAAATTGTCTGAATTCTACTTTGACCACGACTGCCAACACAAGCAAGAGAACTAAGTAAATACCGGAGACTCTGTTGGAATAACGGACGCTTAAAACGAAGGTAGTCCGGACAAGAGCTAAGAAGCTTGGTCAACATAAATGAAATGAAGCATAAACAATGGGGGATGCTTTTGGATCTTACGGGCCCTGTAACCTTTCTGCTGGACAGGTAAACCACAAAGTAAGCCAAGTGTCTGTAACAGAAGTGTTTCTTGTCAAATGGGACCTGCTGCGTGTTGTAGCGCCACAAAACTGTTAACCATGAGTCCCGAGTATGTCATTTTATGATGGTTGTAGAAGTCCTGCAAACATTGTGTTTACTGGTAGTCTGTTGGCATCTACAGTAGCCAGGGCTTTTCATTTCACATTGACTGGGCCCCACTTGTAATTATCGTAAGTATTTATCTGCATTATGTCTGAATTTAATTGAAATAATACGAGCGAGCAGAAGTGTCTGTTTGTGGGCGGGGCTTGCTGGAGCAGAGAGGGAGGGGAAAGGAGGAGCTGAGGGGAAAACTGGTTAGGAGAGGGAAGTGTTTACATTCAAGATTTCCCTCAAAAACGGGAACTTACTCAGATCCTACTTACCCCACCTTTAAGTGCTAATATGAACTCAGGTCTTTGATAATGAAAAAATAAAATGTTTGTCCAGTGAGAGTACACAGAAAAGTACAACAAACATGGCAGCACCTGGGGAAGGACATTAGGAATGCAAGCAGGGCACAAATGGGATGGACATGACACATGAGGTTTGCAAGAAGTGCTACATGAAAGTAGAATACTGCGTCAATAAGACAGACATAAGGGAGAAAACAAATGTTAAATAAGTGAAGTACTTAAAAATGGTATAAATCACAATGTATGGTATTGCAATATTCACTGTGTTGTGAACATAGACTAAATAGAATGGACAGAGTCTGCCTCCTTGCTGGGTGAAGCCACTCCGAGAACAGCACCCTCTGTTGATGGGCTGCAGTATAGGTCATAAATCCCACCTCCGCCAGCAAAGCTTATAGAGCTGTGGACAAACTTTAGAAATTTATTACACAGAATATAAATTTTTCTCCCCCCTGCTTGTGATGTTGACATGTAATTATTGTAAGACTGGTATGTGCTCAAGTCCTCTTTTCTCTGTAAAGCTCCGTTTTTAAAAGTTATTAGGGGGTTCATGTTTGCTATGATTGACACCTGATACAGCCTATGGGCGTTCAGGGATTGCGTAGCTCTCCCGGGGGATGTGCTGTTTGAGCTGAGCATCATCACAGCGACTCTCTGCGACTGCGCGGCCGAATGCGCGCATTGCTACAGCGCAGCTCTGGTTTCAAGAAATAAAGAAAAATCCCAGAAATACTGAGAGATATTTGGCTTCAAATCCGTATACAGATGGTAGGCGGAACCAAGTTGTCCATAGTATATACAGTCTATGATTGTGAAATGTTAAAAATCACAATAATATCGAATCATGGCCTAAGTATGGTGATAATATCGTATCATGGGGCAACAAGTGATTTCCACCCCTAGTGTTTGTGTATCTCCATGTGAAATTGATGTACCGTGGGAGAGTGGAACCTGTTGTTTTACCACAAGCTTTGTCAGTGCTTATGTCAGAAGCACTGGTTGTGCAAAACTGTTGCCCCAAGTGGCCTCAGAGATCCTGTGTGTTCATATCACTGATTCTGCCAGTGCAGTGGTAGTTCCACTGATAAGAGCAGATATGTCAACTGACCTGCTGTTATCTTTGCACGCTTGCTACCTCTGTGCCTGATGAAGTAATCCTCCCTTTTTCACTCTCTGACATTTCCAGCCTTAATGAATACCCTCCCAATAGGGATGTCAGTAGCTTCGTTTACATGGAGCCAAATATTCCGAATAGAATCGGAATAGAAGCCCAATCGGAATGAAAATGCTCCATATAAACACCTCATTCGGAATAAACAGGCCCATTCCGAATGGAATTTCATTCCGATTCACAGGGGTAGAATATTCCTTTTCCCATTCCGATTAAAAGCAAAATCCTGTCATGTAAACGGTGAATCGGAAAGTTGTCAGGCTGGGTTCTGTCTGCGCATGCTCTGTCCTGATGTAAACAAGCAGTGACGTATGACTCACATGGTGGGACATCATGTGACAACATCACGTGACAACATCACGTGATGTTTGAAGGTATCACATGTCTGTAAATAGCTGTTCCGATTGAATGCCGTGGCACATGTAAACACCAGATCAGAATAGATCGCTTCCATGTAAACAGTTCGCCTGGGAGCTTCAATCGGAATGATTATAATCCGAATGAGAAAAAAGTCTGCATGTAAACGTGGCTAATGGTTGACTGTTCATGGGTTACGAACCAACATTTTGTCCACTTGGTAGGTTGATTTGCATAGTGTAAAAAAAAAAGTGCACACTTTTCTAATGACTTCTCTGGCAAACTGTCAAAGGAAAAAATAAAAACTTATAGTTTGAGTATATAGCTCATGGGGAAAGTTTGTTGTGTTCTGGTCCAAAGTGTGAGGTAATTGACAGGCTTATCTCAGTCCTAACAAGAAGTCTTTAGTTTTAGACTTGAGGCATTGTTTATGTAGCTCACAAGAGAGAGAAGTCCCAGGTGTATTGAAGTAATGCCAAATGTTCATAGGGTGTTTTCGGTGCTCTGATGTTCTGATTTGCATTGTTATCAGGGATAAGTGTGGCTCTGCACTGTATAGAAATAACACAGGCTTCAATCTGGAACCTCTTGGCTTTGCTTGAACTTGTTTGATATGGGTATGTACTAGTCGGGATTACCAGCAAGCTTAATAGTATCAGGGGGTTTTCATTAAAAAGGACACGTAAAGTTTCTTTTTGCACCTTTATACCTTCATTTGGAGGACATGTTGAGAAAATGGTCCATAGTTTAGGTGATGACAGGCTGTAAAGGGCCACAGGTTGAACTTGAGCCAGGACAGCCAGGGTCAAGGACTGTAGACTTTCTATATGGGGTGCATGTCTTAACAACAAGGTCAAACTGGTGCCCCGAAAAATGGCATCTTCACATGATCTGATCATGAAAAGAAAGTTAAAGACACACACACAACAATGATGGGTACTGTTGATACAGCAAAGCATCAAGATGTTTGTTTTTCCTGTGAATGGATGTCCTACCCCTCATGTTTATTTTATTCAATAGGTTAAATTAGTCGTTTCTCTCCTTGACATTCCTCTGATCACACTGACCTCCACAGAGGTTGCTGTGTGGCTTGTGGGCTAGTGCCTTTAGCCAGAGAGCAGTGGTGGAGTGACATAGAGAGAAGTGGAGGGAGCTAATCCCTCGATGTTTTTGTATGATTTTTCTCACTGAGTGCAGTACAAGGAACTACTGCATTGGCCCAACTACAAAACAACCCTGATTAATTTGAAGTCGTATGACTTATGGACAGAAAACAGTTTGAAGACTAAATCTTGATTTTACAAAGGAAATTATCACTCTCCCTCTTCATCTTTCATCTGTTTGCCACTGTAACTGTGAGTCAAAAAGAAGCCCCATTTTATTTGTATGCTTTTAATACTGCCTTCTTGAGGGCATTCTTTGCTCTGCATCAGTAACACTGTGTCTGTTACAATGACAAAGAGCGCATGAGGGACAGTGATGACAGTTGATCGATGAGTTTTTCTTCTAACCTTGTTTGTGGACTGACGGTGTGCTCCACACCTCTCAAGAAAGACTGTCACACAGAAATGTCCCAAACAAGCTGGTGATAAAATCCAGAGATGGATGAAGGCTGGGGTCTTTGTACACAGACAACACCACAGGTCTGAAAATACTATGAATCACAATTGAGAAAAACTGGTCTACACCTCGTTTTAGGGAAAATCCTGTCCAACATAATAATGATTGTTTGTTAGCAGAATTTAGAATAAAATACCATAACAGCTTCCAGTTAAGGGTGCTAAGGACTTCGAATGTTGCCTGCTTGGTATTGAAATAGGCTAGTGTTGTTACTGGTATCATCGTATAGTAAAAAATTCTGGTCTAGTAAAAATCCTCTGTTTCTTCTAAATCTAAATGGAAATTTTGAACCAAACAGTTTTGACTCATCGAGGTCATTTACTTGGTTTCTTTTTCGAGTTTCAGTAAGTAATGGGCTCTATACACAGCTCCACTACTTCCTGAACTCAAGGCAGCTCCTTTATTTTCTGTCTTACATTATTGGACAAACTGATTAATCCAGGTCAGACACACCCGGATTATTCAGTTTGTCCAATAATTTAAGACAGGAAATAAAGAAACAGCCTTAAAGATGGGGTAGGCAGGATCTGAGGAAGTGCCGTTTTTGGGAGAAATCTTGAATGTAAACGCTAACCCTCCCAACCAGTTTTCCCCTCAGCTCCTCCTTTCCCCTCCCTCTTTGCTCCAGCAAGCCCCGCCCACAAACAGACGCTAAATACTTAAGATAATTACAAATGGGGCCCAGTTAGTGCTGGGCGATAAAACGATAACGATATATATCGAAAATTAATTTCCTCAATATCAATATAAATCATGGTCGATATGCTTTTACGATAGTCGGCATTAAAAAGGAGAGAAGGGCATTCTCCAGAATTAAGCTGGGTTTAGAGCGGCAAGGTGTGTGGTATGTGTACCCATTAAAAGACACGGATACAGATGTCCAGTTTAGTGGTTGATTTATTTGACTGTGGTTCTGAGAATAAAGATACAAAGCAACAATCAGTACAGCTCACACCATACATAACATGAACATCGAGGAGCACGAGATAGCATTAGCCATATTCACGGTAAACAATACATTCACACAATATAGTGTCCAACTTGGACTGCACCAAGGAGCAGTGTCTGCCTCATAATCAATCAGGTTGGGGAGGTGGGGAATGGCTTTGTTTACAGTCAGAAAGAGCGGGCCGCTCAAAAGTTTTAAAATGTTGACCACACAGACATAACAAAACACAGCAACATCGTTATATTACCAAATGTCATCAATGACTAATAGCTATTTACCTTTTTATTAAAAGCTTTTTATACACCACAAAAAAAGATGAATCCTGCCTACCCCACCTTTAAGTTCAAGAAGTAGTGTATTGGTGCATAGAGCCCATTTTAAAGTATTGCAGCGGAATTGAAAACATGGTACTGTCACCCTTATGTTGTGATAAATGTATGGCAGCAACTAATGATTATTGTTGGTGTTGATTTTTTTTTTGATTTATAATGATCAGCTTTGTTAGCACCTATTTTGGACTTATGTTTGACCTAAAGTTGCTTAAATCTTCACACAGTTATAAATGCTACTATTGACAGGGGCTGAAATGAAGTATGCCAAAGCAGCTGTGCCTTTAAGTCACTGATTACAGCTGTAAAGTACACATAAACGTAAGTAAAGTAGCATTTGCTAAGCAAGCTTCTTTCATGATTTTCTGACTAAAACACAAATGTATTATGTACTTGCATCATAGACTGATAGTAATTAACAAATGAGTATGTGATTTAAAAATAACCATGAGGTGTCAACGTTATTTGTGAACTTATCTCTCTGAGGTACACGATGATACAGCGGCTCCAGTGTGTCTGTGTTCAAGGTGTTTGCTCGCTGTTGTGCTACCATGGAATGAGAGTAGAGCTTCACAAAAATTGCATTTAACGTGTTCGCGGGTTTATTTTCAGTGAAATGTTCCCAAACTTTGGGTAATTTGTGCGTCCTCTTCTCTGCTTCCTTGTGAGATGTAAACAGTGAGCGATACTGCCCCCAGGACTTCATGTTGTGCATTGCAGATGAGCATGCAGCAGACTGTGGGTTTTTACCCTAGACTTCCACCAGATTCATGTTTGGTCCATGCCTGCTCCCTGCACAAACTCTTTTTAAAAGCTGGCAGCTTTGTTTTTGTTGTGTGTGAATCTGCAGGGTGTTAACGTCAGGGTCTGGTGTGAGACCTAAGGAGAGTGGCAGAGAAAGTTAGAGAGGATATGTAATTTTTCATATTTTAAATTTAACAGTGATTTCCAGGCTTGACTTAAAACCTTGCTTGAGCCTAAATAGAGTGGAGTGGAGTGTATATGGCTTAAGGGGTGATCCCATCACCCATGGATGATTGAATCAAACACTGACATCATGATTTGACTGGTCTGCTTCATCCTGGGTTGTACTTTAGTTTATCCCCATCTCAGCAAGATTAGTTTGATGGATAATGTTGCTGCTATGATAATCAATAATACGCACAAATTTGCTGCTTTGCAAGTATAACACATCATCATTGTACTAAAGTTATTGTAAAATATCTGGTTATTTACTGATGAAGTTTGTTGTTTTTTTTTGTCCTTTGTCTGTTTTAACGTGTATTAAATTACTCTTTTCTTTCTTTTTTGTCTATTTGTCTATTTGATTTTTACTGTACAACAGCTTGGATCATTAACATATACATCATGTCAATGTCGGGCAATCCAACAACAGCATCAGTGTTGAAAAGGCAAGCTGACTTTCTATGGCAGTATTTTGTAGGGTTTGCAGGTGTGCCACCTTTTACATCGTGCACATCTTTATATTTAGATCTGTTTTCAACTTGGTCTGTTTTCTAGTTTATCAAATTGGATCTTGTGTAACGTGTAGCAGAGCATCAACATTTCTTGTAAAGCTCATGTTTGTGTGTACATGTGCGCTCGTTGACATGGTAACAGATGATGGCCAAGATATGAATCACAGGTGTTTCTTGTTTCATTTTCCATCAAAGTAATAATTATCTTGACGGCCTTGTGCTGCCTAGAAACCTCATTCCTAGCATGGCAGAGCTGTGTCCTCCAGCAAACACTGTACAACCTTCAGTAATTCAGTGTTTCTGTGGCCACACCCAACTACTCTTGCTTTCTTTGTGGTAACACTATCGCTCCCTTTGCTCAGCAGCTTCTGTAGAGAGAGAGACAGCAGAGCCAAGAGGAAGGGAAACTGAAGAATCAAGGGAAAAAATGACTGAAAGAAAAGAAGCACACAGGTAATCAAGGTCAGGAAAAACAGGGAGGGGACGCAGTGAGTGGAGAGAAGAAGCCTGGAAAAAACAATCTTAAGGTCGTTCAGTGATTTCCAGGGCACCCGGCACTTATCAGTATTATGCAATCCAGCAACACTCTTGACGCAACCTTAATCTGCAGTCTTAATAATTACCACTGGATTGAACTGCGGCAGAGTTGAACTTTCTGGCTTCACAAAGGCAGCGCTGATTGAAATGTTTTTCTTGGAGCATCCAGGTGATGGTTTTACGATGGTTGGCCATAAAAATGGGCTGCAGGCATGCTTAAATGGTTCACCTTCTGACGAGGTAAAAACATTCATAAAAGTCCTTAGTGAGTGTGAGTCACATGGTCAGACAAAAGGTCCCTACAACCTCCTTTATAGTTTATTAGTTATTCAGGTTTTTTCCTGGCTCAAATTGAGGCATCTGCAACGCTAAAAATCAAAAACTTTACTCTGACACGGAGGAAACTTTTTTTTTTAAATAATCACTACATGCTTGGATGCAAAAAAAGATAAGCAGTATTTACCTGTTTGTACCATCCGCCAGGGAAAATCAGGACGCCGATAGCACCAACTAGCGGGAAAAAACTGGAAAAAACACGATTCGATCTGTTTCTTCTTCGGTAGATGCTTCAGGTCTTTCCGGTGCACTGCTGTGGATATAGCGCCTCTATAGTGGTGCAACGCTGCAGCTGCAGTTAAAATACGTAGCTGCCACAGAGGGACATCAATCGCTCAATCAACACAGCTGGAGCTTTACGCTGTGTGGAGCGATATCAATTGCTCTGGCTGGGGCGGCACAAAATTAGGTGGAGGTGGCCGCCACGCAATTTTGAACGCAGGAAGAACCCTGTTATTATAATTTGTTGTGTCTATTGTGTAGAGATGCAGCCATAGTAAAATGAGGGACTTACAGACAGTTGTGTTTAATATCAGACATGCTCTTCCTCATTGACTGTCTGTAGTGAGCGATATATTCAGCAGCAAATCAATAGTTCTTTTTTATTCTCCAATGAGAATTTAGTCTTGTGTTTGAAATCATAAATCACAGGCTTTTTACAGTGTTAGACACTGCCAACTAGTTTTTGATGTTCAAAAACTTGCTTAGCTGAGACATGATATTTCATGGGCTGCAGACAGTGCTGAGATTTAAAAAGACCATGGATCCAGAGGGCTACCTGCTGTGCAAACCATGTGATGAACCACATTTATTTCTCATGCAAGAAAACATATGAGCCACCATTCGTGTATTCCTGATAAAGCCACATGTACATTTGCATGCCACATCTGTCTCACTGTTTTGACTGTCTAAGCCTCGTATATATGCTGGCAGAGCTCCTCAGAGACCAAAATACTTTGGTTGTCTTTCATCTTATCTCTTTCCAAAGCCCCTCACTGAGTTTCCTTCCTCTACTTTGTTGCAGGTTCTGAGCTGATGGTACAAGGCCCTGACTGAATATCCTGGTGGTGCATACAGACTTACTACAGTGGTAAGTGGCTGTAAATGGTTCCTCATTGTTTCAACATTGTTTATGCAGGAATGTTGAACTGACCCAAGACATGGGAATCTATGGCATCTGTATCCCTCAGAAGATGAGGTGACTCGTTTTGTATGAACAGAGAAGTGTCGGAGTCAAACCAAAATCAGCTTATTTGTTGTCAGGGTCACTGCTTCCCCTAATTTCCCAGAAACCTAATTGCTTCCTTTGCTTCTCCATGGTGTCTTCTTTTACTTAGAAGAACATACACATTTTGACATAAAGGGGAGATTTTTGATGGTCAGAGAGTTTGAAATCTGTATGTGGTTTCTACAAGCAGGGCTCACACTCAACTTTTTCACAACGAACACGTGCTCCTAAGTTGAAAGAGTTAAAGCACACAGAGAACTTTAGGGGCACAATGAAAATTGATCAAATAATGTGTCTTATTGGTTGACATAAGTACTATTTGAAATCAATTTTAGGTATTTTGGTCACATGACGTCAAAGCTATTAAAGAAAATGTTCAAAAGTGAAGCTGCACGGTCCGCAGCATTAGTGACCCCCCCGTAGCATTTTCCAGAGATTTTTTATTCCTTTTTTCTTTTATTTACGTAAATTTTTGTCATTTTCCATGATATTCCATATTTATATTGAATTCTGCTTTTAATGTCCAATTCCGTGATTCCGTCCGCGATCCTGTGATCGCGGATTTTATAGGGTCCTACATTAACCAGTAATTTATTGACGGTCCCTTATTCAACACCCTACACTGACAGCGAGGGAGCCAAGTAGATACTGCACTGTTGTTGCTATTCCCGGTTGTAGAGAGTGAGAAGACACCGGTGGATCCGCAGTGAATCGTCCGTCAAATATCTAACCTAGAACTAACTTCACTGCAGTACTTAAATGGAAAAAACATTTGTTGCCTCGGCTGATTTTTTTTTTAATGCTCATGTGCCCCGAAATACATTTTACAATCTGCACACATCTATTTTTAGTCACAAATGCAAGTGAAACGGTTGCACTGTCAAGCCCTGATAAGAACAGTAGACATTTACCTAAGATTACCCTATCTCTTCCCTACAATACCAGTCCAAGATGGGACCCTTAGATGCTCTCTGTCACTGTCTTTCATGTTTGTTATGCTTGGATGCCCAAGTTCTTCTTTTCGTATGACTCACTGAGATTTTTTCATTTGGTTGTGTTGAAGCAAACCTCTGTGCTTTGACAGTCATGCTCTTGATGGCTCAAATATTTGCAGTCGGCTGTGTTACTGTCTGGTCGGCCCGATCGGAGGGTTATTTTTTCTTTCACTGTAAAGCACTCACATTGATTTGTTTATTCCAATCCTTGAGCTGTAACTCGCCACTCTAAATGTCACTCACGCCACTCTTATGTCATCAAGTGTGTTATTAGCATGAGTAGGCTTGAAGCACTCCTACACCATTCTCATTTCCATACCAGTCTGCACCAGAAACCAGAAACCGAGTTGTTATTCATGAATACCAGGAAATAATGTTCTATTGTGATGATAATGTGTAACAGATGGGTAAACCTATTTTGGTAGAGAGAGCAGCTATGTCAGAGAAGCAGCTTGGTCCCTGTGTTAGTGTGTGATTTTCTTCCCCATTGTTGGTTTGTGTGTCTGTACTGAGGACAGCGTGCAGCTCTGCCTGCTCTGGTGTTGTAAAGACGCTGTATCTTGAGAAATTGCTGACTTTGAATCAGAGCTTTTCAGGCCAGGAGTTAAAGACATACAAGACATCCAATTTGTTTGTGCCCTGCAGAAGTATTTCACCCCCAACTCGTCTTTAATTTTACTCTGCCTCCTTGTGTTGTTGCACGGTTGTAAAATGTCTTTCATGACCTCAGGAGTGAGACAGAATGACAAGAATAACTGAACACATTGTAGTTTTTGGAGAGCACTGGCATGTCATCAGATCTCTCCTGAATTACAAAACGTCTTTCAGGAAACATGGCTTCAGAGTAAAAGTCGTGTTTCTTTTTTTTTTTTTTTCATTTATTGATGCAGTTGTGTGGAAACTGTGTTGCTCCCACAAGGCTGTTGTATGACAGAGGAGAAGAAAGAAGTCTTTGTTTAAAAGGATTCAGCCCACAGTATTGATTCATTGCAGTAGCAGTTTGTGGAGAAATTAGCTTCTATGCTACGCCTCTTCCACTCTCTGCCCCTCATTCTCAAAATATACCACAAATATTTGGGATGCATCTCCTCTTAAGTGTCCCACGGTGAGCCTAAAACTCCACACCTTAGCTTGTCCCTGGTTAAACTTGATGCTTAAACTATTTTTAGTCTGTGGCGGTGATAGGATCAGAGGAGTTTGAAGAGACAGAAAATGAGATAGTTAAATACAGATATAGACTGGCTGATGAAGTGTGAGATTAGTCTTGATACAGCACTCTTCTGATTTGTCTACAACTCTGGTAGGGATGCCGTTTCATACGGTTTGGCACAGTCTCTGTTTACAGAAAGACATTTAAAGCATGATTTAAACAATTACAATTAAAGTTAAATTTATCCTCATTAAAGAAATTATTTGTCAATTGTAGGTGTTGTGATTGCCAACAATTGCCATAGGTCTGATACTACAGAAGTGGGCCTCTTGTTAAGCTAAGAAGAATGTGACACAGGCTGACCCTCTTTATCAACATCCTGCTTTACTGACTGATTAAAATTGAATTTATTGACTGTTCAACTGAAACTGGGGTGCAAAATATTAATTTAAAAATGCATCTTCTTTTGTCAGTACTCTCAAGTAAAGACAACTCTTTTTAAGGCACTTCCAAACCAATTTCTGAACTGCTACAGCAAACAGTATCACTGCGTAGTTAAAGTAACCCAAGAATGTGGGGTGCAGACCTGTGAGGGTACTGAGGTGTAGTTGTGAAGTTGACTATATGTGCACTTCCCTGCCACTGAACATTGTCATCATTATACCTGTGACATTTCTCTCACCTGTCAACATACGTGTGTACATGAGAAAAATGTGTACATGAGCGGACGTAAAAAAAAAAAAAAAAAAGACAAACCCTTCCCATTGTACAAATGTAAGTGATGGTGTGTTCATCATACGATCTACATTCTGGTACATTTTGCCGACCAATTTGATACGCAATAAGCCAACTGGTTCGGTAGATGATACCACCTACTGTAGCAGAGGTGGACATGCTTCTGTTAATGATTTGGCTCTTGCTGGGTGCTAGTAAACCGAGACAAGGACAGATGTCAGGTTAAATTGCTTACTTGAGCTTGAACTGTAGCTCAGCTGTGTGTGTAAACGTACTGACTGATGCAGCTACCTCTGCTGCACACAACCATGCAAATGTTTGCTATCTGACTCTTGAACTTTGAACATCACAAGTGTCTGAACCTCATTATAAATAAATAATATTGGATTATCTCACACACTTGATGCCAGAGTAGCAGGAATGAATCAGTTTTGGCTCCATTTCCACAATTCCTGTTATTCCAGACATCTGCAACTCTGCTATTCCACACCAAAGTTTAGGCTCTGCTTTGGAGTGTTTTTATAGGAGAGATAAGGTGCATCCTTGTTGCACGAAAAATTAGTTCATAGCACTCTTTTTTTTTTTTTGTTTTGAAATATGTTTGACATGCAAGATTCATGCTTGGCAATATCACTGATTTGTCGAAAAAAAAGGTGTAACACTTTGATGAGGAAGAGGGATTTGAAGAAAAATTTGTCCTGACCTTTTTAAGTACTTTAACTTGTGTTACTGAATGGATATCAAAGGTGAAGAAAACCAGAAAATGACTGAAAAGTACAGTGGTGGATTTCTGCATACTTTCCTCTGCAGTTGCACTGCGACTTACTCACAGCCACCTTGTTTTACAAAAGCATTGTTAAGCCACCTTCCAGTTTAGAGGCCGGGCAGTCTTACTTGTTACTCTGGGGTAACCTTATGAGTATTGCTGAAATGAAATTTGGTTTGTTGCCTCCTTGGTGAAAGAATTGGGATGCTAGCAAGTAAGCACAGGGTACTTACACAGGCAACGGAGTTAGCCTCATTTTTATGTAACACAACACTCAAGTCTTACACCTCACTCCTACCTATAATGCCCCAATATTCCCAGGAGTCAATCATCTAGCTCATAGTGTTTGCCTCCAGTAATACCCTCATTGCTTCAGTTTGTTGCTGAAAAAAGCTGCTACTCTTAATAGTATAGTAGCAGTAATAGTCGAGTATTTCATAGTTGTAGGCCTGAAATGCAGGGTATGTGTTGTGTAAAAGCAGTGGCCCAGCCACCTGCAACTAGACAGGATTGTAGTCCAGTTAAATAGCCACTGTCGTAATGTAAGATACTCCTTTACCTGGATGTGAATGGCAAAGATGTCAAATTGCACCTCATAGCTTAGTGTTGTCCAGCACTATTTTTATCTTGACAATGGAGACAAAAGCCGTTCTGAGTAAACCGGCATATAACCATGAGACTTAAATGGATATTGTGGCGTAAATTTAAGTTATAGTCAAACACACTGCAACACTAAATTAGACAACCCCTCATGATATGAATGTTGCTGACTGCTTGCTTCTCTAGTTATACCAACTTAAGCAATGACCATGCGATAGCAGTACACAGTGGTCTACGTCTCCACCTGAAACCTCAACCAAAGAGCCACTCAGCAGAAAATTTTATTTTTTCTTCATGAAAATGTAATCAGACCGAGACGCTTAGGCAGAAGAACTACCGTGTCCGCAGTGCAGAATGATTATTATGATGATTATTACTTCAAGGAAATGATCTGTTACACTCAGTGATTGACTCGTCAGGGCTCCCCCACAAACAAGCGGCTGCTGGAGTAGAGTAGGTGAGTTTTGTTTGGTCTCTTTGCTAAAGAAATCAGACAAAAGCTAAAAAGATGTTTGGTGGCTAGTGCTATGGCTGAAACCATATATTTACTGTTGATGAAGTTATGTGCTGTTCTGATCATTATTTGTGGATAGATAGTAGAGTGGCTTCTTGGTTGAGTATGTGGCTCTCTGTATTGCTATTGTGTGGTTGTTACTAAAGTTCATATTACTGGAGAAGCAAGCAGTCGGCAAAATTCATCTATCAAGGGGGTGTCTAACTCTGTGTTATGGTGTGTTTGACCATAACTTAAATGTACGCTGTGATATCCCTTCAAGCAATAATGTGGGGATGTGGATTTTAACCTGTAAAGTTAAACAATATAAAATAAAATGGCATAACTCAGCGGCTAATGTGACTGCATTCAACATTTTGTTTACTGAGAAATTTGTCACATTTAGGGAATCGGAAACTTTTTTGCTTCCAGGTTCAACATAGGTCTGCAAATTTGGCATCAGTGCTTTAGCTTTAAGGCTTAGTTGCCACAGCATCCATACATTCAACATTTCCCTGAGTACAAGCTTACCTTGGAATGAATTCCAATCAACATTATTTGCTCAGCGTTAACTACAAATACAAGAGCTTTGAGTTTTAGTGCAGAATAAATCACCAAGGCTGTATAAAGTGAAGTTACAGACACTAATCTCTAAGGCAGATTAGTGCTGGACGATAATTCGATAACAATATATATCGATCGATAGACGTGTGGAGCGATAGAAAAAAAACGGGTCGATAAAAAGTTCGATAGAAAAACACAGTTTCCCTTTCTTTTTCATCATAGCCTATCATGTAGCTTTTACTACAGTCATTACTTCCTCCCAACCAATCACAAACGCAGACCCAGGTACGCTACGGCACCAAGCCCAGCCCCTATCAAACCACAACAGACAGCACGTGTATTAGAAATAATGTAACAGCAAGGAGAAGCGGAGGAAATTGTCCCGAAAAAAGGTTTCAGTTGTTCACCAACATGGCAATGTTTTGGTTTTTAGAAGTCTGACAAAAAGCAAACAGCGGTCGTTTGCAAAATTTGCAGAGAATTAGTAAAAACCAAGTCCGGTAACACAACCAACTTGTTTTACCATCTAAACCGGTCGCACCCGCAGGAGTACGAGCTGTGTCGGCTGCGCCGCGGCTCCACGTCGTCGTCGGAGGAATCCTCTGGAACCGCTGTTAGCACCAGCTCAAAGCAAGTGAAGCAGACCAAACTGGACTTTGTTTCTTGCCAAAATACGACAAAGCGTCCAAGCGGCATAAGGACATCACCCATGCAGTAACATGCTCCATAGCGAGGGACATACTGCCAATAACTACCGTTGAAAAGCCTGGCTTCGACCAGCTTCTAGCCACTCTCGACCCGCGATATGAAGTGCCCGGCCGCAAGTATTTCTCAAACACAGCGCTTCAGGCATGAAAATGGGTCAGGGGTTGAAAAGGTGAGAAGGGTGCGGAGGAAATACGCTCCGGTGTAGCTTCTTAAAGTGGAAGAAAATGAGCTCATATTTTACAAAGACGCGAGTATTTGGATCATGGCTACTAGCAGGGGGGGCATTCGGCAGGGGTGCATTCTACGACACAACACCGGCGTGGATAAGTCCTGCTTCTCGTGCTTAGTTTGTTTATTAAGTCAATCACATGATATTTAAAAAAAATAAATCTCCCGATCCCGATCTTCAGACACCAGGCTGTGGGCAGTTTCCCACACAGTTAAAACTGGTAGTATGCTATTCCCACCTAAAGCTTTTCTGTTTATTTATATATTTGTTTGTTTTGTTTATTTTCATCAAAAGACTATTTAAATATTTATTTATCAGATTTTCTGGTCACTTTAGTCTTTATGTTTGTCAGTATTTACTGACGTCACTCAGGCCACTTAAGTTGATTTTTTTTTTTTAAGTTCTTTTTTAAAAAAACTTTCAGTTGTGGTAAAAAAAAAAAAGGTGGTTGAATAAAGGTTTGAATTTGAATTCAGTGCTTGTGTGTTCTTTATTAAAAGTAGGTCATTAAGCAATAGCATAAAACATCCAGGGCTGCAATTAAAATATATGTTAAATAATTATAATAATTATATCGATAATTATCGATATCGATCAATATGATTTATTTTTTATCGATATGCTTTTTTTCTATATCGTCCAGGCCTAAGGCAGATACTCTTCTTAGTGTACGTCATCTGCAATCTTCACAGACAGACTCTGGACTGGAATTTTGCTGCAACTTGAAGGGATTGTATATTACCACAGGGCGATCATTTATTGACCTCACACTGGAGGTTTCACCATGTAGCACGTTCCCTTGTGCCAGTAGTCATTGTGATATCTTAGACCACTGTGAGTTGCAAAACAAGCAGGAACCACTCCTCGTTTGTGAGACATGCAAGAGATTTGACCTTCTAAAGAGATGCTTAAGTCACTGGGCTCCTGACTTTGGCAACTTCTTCTAATCCAAGCTGTCGCTTCAACTCTCAGTGAGATAACTTCCTCTGATTCAGCGAGCCTCACTGCCTGCTGCATTCACATAGACACGAGCTGCCTAGAGCAGGTTTAACTGCACATCAAACCGGGCTAGCTGGCAAAGCCTATGTGCTACCATCTGTTAGCAACCAGACAGATAGCCTTCCTGACCTTACATTGGCCATTTGAGGCAGAGCCAGGCTTGCCAGTGCAATCTGTCACTCTGAGAGACCAGTAACTCAGGAGAGGGGGAAGGGAGAGCCACATGCAATTCTGTAGTCAGTGCGCCTTACACAACTGCACAGTGTGATTAAAGAATCTATAATGTGTTTGTAGTGCTATAATTTAGAGCTAAAGCTTAAATCCATAAACATTTCAACAACTTTTCGTAGTGAAAAAAAAAAAAAAAAAATCACACCCTGACTTCTCTTAAGGACATACTCAAAGAAAGATGTGTTTCTTTGTGAGAATTTGTGTCCCAGTTCTAGGGTCAATAAATTTAATTTCAATCAGTCAGTGAAGTAAGGTGTTCATTCAAAGTAGCTTATGTAGTATACAGGTTGACTTTATGTGCCATAACAAGGGTACTACGTCTGTAAATTGAAGGTTGTGCGAATCAGCTTAATAAGCTATCATCTAAGCTATCAATTGTCTGTGCCATCTATTTGATGTAAAAACGGAAGAGCTTTAGTGTCCATTTTCATTAAAATAATACAGATAGTTACAGCTCATGTAGGGAGTTTTTTTTACATTTATGAAATTCATATTTATACATTTCTGTGATATACCAAAGTAAGACCATGTGCGACAAAGTAAATATTTTTACACTGTCGTTTTTAATGCCGGAAACTGCTGTGAGGGGGTAGGTATTGGCCAAGCTGTATCGCAGCTAAGACAGTGCAACCAGAGCATTGCATAACCAGTACAGGGCTGTGGATGTTAAACTGTAAGGAGAACCATCTGAGACCCCATCTTTAACGGTGTTAAATCTGCTGAATTTGACATTTTCAATGAGCGGGACTTTAGTAATCTGTAGTTTTAGTTCAGATTTACACTTTTTTTGGTTTTCTACAGGCTCAGTCTTCTACCTTACAAAGACTAGCTTAGAGCGGCATCATTTCAAAACGATAAAAGTCTTCCCATGGGTCTCTGTAGTCCTACAGAAATCATCATGGTCCTTTCTTTAACATCCACATTAGTAATTCTAATGTTCTGTAACCAGTTTGTGAAAGCTGTGTATTTCCCCACAATGTAACCCGAACAGCCACACTGTTTTTAATGGCTAATGAGGGGGTATCCACTGGTATTTGTCATTGTGCAGTTCCATATTTTCTACATATGCACATCCTTTACAGATTACAGCACTTGGTATATGAGCCATGGTTTGCAGCAGGCTTTTGTTCTTGGCATAGGGCGTATTGTGTACTGGTTGTGGCAGCAGTTTAAGTGTGTGAGAGAGAGAAACAGAGAGGGGGGGGGATGCAAAGTATGAGCTCCAAATCACCCCATCCTCTATTGGCTCAATGTCTTACTGAAAATAGACCTAAACAGTCAGGTCTCAGACATAGCCTTAAAATAGGAATGAGCCCCATTTCCACCTGCAGAGCTGACACAGTGCAGCAGCCATCACAGCGTGGGTCCTCTTCAGGTATCGATGCAGCAAGTCTTCAAAGAACATGAAACCAACACAGTGTGTGCTATTGTCACAGAATGAGAGGGAGAAAAGAAAACACCATGCAGCAGAGAGACAGTGGCAGTTAGTCTGTTTCCCTTAGCTAGGGTTTCAGGGGATGCACCTGCTATTTAAAAAAAAAAAAAAAATCCAGCCTGTGCCAATTACAAGATTTTCTGGTGTTTCTCAGTTTCAAATATGACTGCTATGTTATGACAAATTTGCCATTTCTTTCCTTACCTCAAGTCCAAAGAAATAATTAATTTTGATGTTTGAGTCTTTAATTTTTGAAGCTGTGACTTAGTGATACTTTTGTGAGCAGGGGTTCCATATTTATCTGTGCACGTTATTGATCAGCCAATAAGATGTTTTAAGTCATTTAACAGATATATAAAAAAATTGAATGATAAATACATAACATTTCTGTAATAAGTCATTTTTAACATTAACAGTAAAATCAGACACAGGTTATAAGAGGAAAAAAATACAACAATTATTGAAATGCCTGGAGAATCTCACGACTAACTTGAGAGAAAAAAGAGAAATCTTAATTTTTTAGCCTTTTGTTGAGAGGATGGCATCGTGGATGGGTCAGGAACCTAGGCCACCTGTGTGAGGTGAAACCACGGTATATGGGGTGTGGGCTGAGACTGCTCCTCTAGGATGTCCCTGTCATAGATATACTTGAAAAACAAACAAACAAACAAACAGAAACCCTCTTTCATTTGCTCACATTAGGGACTCACCAAAATACAATCAGACTGGTTTCGGGCTGGATTCACCCCTTTTCAACCAAATCCCACAAAGTTGGATGTATTGATGGCTTAGACGATCATCATGCTGGATTTTCCTGTGATGTGAGGTATAGCAACCTGGTTGTTGGAGATTGTGGCTCCACTGAATTGAAATTATAGATATTATACCTGTCCGATATCTATGATAAGAGATCTTGTTGTGTGGGTCAGCAAACAGCCGATAATGCACTGCGAATTATCAGGTGGAATGAAATTATATATGATATATGATGGGCAATCATAAAGCAGGCAGACCAGTGAAGGAAAAATGACAAGTCCAGTGTTCCATGTTTTTGCACTTGTAAACAGAAAGCATAGAGTTACAGAGATGTAAGAAATGAAGGACCTACTCATTGTTTTGTCATGGTAACACAAGTGTCCTTTAAATCGTCGCAGTTTGAAAATCATTCCATAGCTGCCATGTTTGACTACCCAAAAGTCAAGTTCTGCAAGAGATTTTTCTGAAATTTCCAGCTTTAAGCATCAGGATTGTGTTTATTGATTATTGGTATCAATCTGTCCATGTCCCCTGATAGGAATTCAGGAGTAAATGCAAAAGTTTTTTTGTCGTATTGGCGAAAACAATGTTGTGGGTGACTTTAAACGGTACTTTTTAAAAACAGGTTAAATCTGTTAACGACTACCATTTCATCTCTGTGTCTCTTAAAATTCTTTTTTTACACATAGCATAACTCTTTTGTGGCACCTGCATGTGTACGGCCAAAACAACCTTAATACGCATGCTCTGTACTCTTCCTCTGTCTTTTGTGCATTTCCTGTGCAGCGTTACAGCGCCACTTACTGGCATATGCACTACATCGTTTTCAGTGGTTTCGTTTTTTTTTTTTTTTTGCGTTTTGATAGAAAAACGTTTTATTTTTAAAGTGAAGTTTGTCACTGAATAAAAAATTGAAATTGAAATCTAAAATCGGGTTTTCAGGGAAAAAAAATTGGGTTTTTATTTTTGGCCAAAATCGTGCAGCCCTAATGTCACGTGAGGGACCTCTCACATTTCCAGCCTTTATTGAGACTTAGGAAACCTTTAAATGTGGAACAGGCCTTAGTCTTTAATCAGTAATTGGACATACCCATGGATGGCTGGAGAATTGTGAAAGCTGAATTCATGGCTCTAAATAGGCAGGATGGTCAGATGTTTGCTTTGGCTTATATGATTTGTGTCTGTACTGCTCTATAAAGTTGACATGGCTAAATTTATAGTCAGATGTGTGTGCGTGCGTGTGTGTGTGGGCGCGCACTGTGCAGTGTTTTATTCAGAGGACATGCAGATGTAAATGTAGTACAGGCTCTGGTAGTGAAAACCAACATCACTCCTCCACCACACTTGAAAGAAAAACAAATTGCGCTGCTCCAGTTTGGCTTTGAGCGGTGCATGCACATCATAGCAACAATGAGGCTGGGAGAAGGCTTGATTGATGTGTAGTTAAATGTGTTGTGACAGGAAGTTGAATGTTGCAGCATATTGAACAGGTGTCATTTTATTTTTATCTCACTTCTTTGAGAGAGCTAAAGCCTTGTGATTGGATCTTTCATTAGGCTGTGTTTGACTTAATGAATTATTTATGCTTGCTGATAACCTGGGGCAAATATGATTTACTTAGCAATATTGATTTCATATTGTGACGGACAGAACCTGGCTGCCTCTCATCAATGTGAATTCATGTCATGGTTGGCAAACAGGTTAGGTACTGTATATATCTAATTGCCATGTCCTGATTTTCTTCTGCCCTAACCCCCACACCCCACCCCCCTCATTGAGCTGTGACTTGATTTAAGATTTACGGCAAAGGCCAGTTTGCAACTGACAGGACTCACAAGGGGATGAAGACAGAGAGGGAGGGAGAGAGGGGGAGGGGGAAAAGGGATGAAATGCAGAGACAGAGATTCCCTTCTCTTCACCCATCCCCCCTCTGTTCCCTTACACTGTCAACACAGATGATCCTGCCTGCAAACGCTGGCTCAACAGTGCCACTGCAGTGGGATGTTGGTGGTGGGAACTGCAACTTTGTGTTTACAAACCTTGGCTGTCCTGTCCTCCAGGGCACTGCAGCTGTCAGATGGGATTTGAGCAGAGGGGTCTGGTGATTTGGGCAGGTTTTTTATTTCAACCAAATACAACAGCAGGGCAATTTACTTTTAACCCTTTCTCCTGTCTTGTTTTCAACTGTACACTGCTGATTTGTGCAAGCTGCTATTGTGTGGTAGAGAAAATAAGAAGATATATGAATTCCTGAGTCCTGCTGCTCAAATTAAAAAAAATCTCCCACACCTTAAGATAAAAAAAATTAAAACAGCAGTAAAATACTGAAGCTTCATACAGTAGCTTCTTCATGTATGCTGGAAAATTGGGGACATGTTTGCCTTTAAAAAAGCTGTACAGATTGCAGACCAAGTGTCGGAATACTCTATGATTTCACGCTGGTTTATACTAATTCAAGGTCAAATTCAGAAGAAATCTAAATAGTGAGTAAGGTTGTGTTACTGCTTAAATCTTTCCAAACAAGGAGCTTCATCAGTCTTTTTTTTATAGTCTCACTCATGTGGTGAATCAGTCTTGAACCCTATTTCTTTTCCTTTTTCTCTTATGTTGACAGCAACAGGTATTGTGTGAGAGTGCTGCCAAAGCACAGGTGACCTCCACTCAACACTGGGCCTGATAGCATCTAGTATAAACCTGATTGGAGGACTAATGCAGCTGCTGCTCATCCATGCAAACATCTGCACCGTTTGAAGAGAAGGTTTACCTGCTAGTGGGTCACCTGATAGAACTGTCCCTCCCACCCTTGTGCTTGTTAACTTACATTCCCAAAACATGTGAAACTCACAGACATAGGAGATTAAACACGAAACAAAGTTTTTTTTGTTGCATTTATCAATTTTTTTTTCTATGATTTAATTGTTTTATGTTAAGATTTGGGACTGGGCGATTTTGCAAAAAAAAAAGATCACAATATATTTTGTCATATCGTCCAAGCTCGATTGTCACGTTTTTTTTTTCCCTCTCTTTTTAAACTGTCAAATTTAATGCATCTGTACTAAAAACTGAAGAAACTAGAGATTGGGTTAACATTTTATTACCATACAAAGTAAATAAAAAGGCAAATTAAATAAGATATACATAGAAAAATATAAAAACCATTTTTACTCAACAACACAACAAATGTAGATAATTGTTAAATTACAAAGTGACTTACTTAACAGTCCTGAGTGTTTTGCAGTACCAAGACCCAAAATAATCAAATCGCCCCCCCAGGAATAATGAAGACACCTTTAAGTGTGAACATTAGATGATGTAAATGTAGATGATAAGATTGTTGTAGCTAGACTGCTAATGCTACTTATGCTGCCCGCAGTAACAGGCTGTGAAGACTCTGCTCGCATTTTCATACTTTCCTCATAACTACTTGGGAAATACTTCTTAGAATAATTAAACAGATCTGTTGTTTTGCCGGTTTTTGAGGGCACCGACCACCGAGAAACCTTGCTTCATTGCTTCATTGCTTGACGTCACTTTGGAGATACCCGAACCAACGCCACACAACCGACGTTGAATAACTTCCTTTCTCAACAATAACATCTTTGCAGGATGACTTAAAGTCATGGCTGACATCTTTTTTTGCTGCCCTCAGCTCTGCGTTTAGCTCCATGTTAGTTCATTCTATCTCTTCTCCTGTTTACTTCTCTGGCAACTTACAGAAGTGAGAAGGAAAAGCTTGACTCTGATTGGCTGTTGATACACATTTCTGCCATGTTTGATCAAGTAAATGAGCTCACAGCTGATCACTGTGATTGAACTGAAATTTATCATTATCATATAATTGCCCAGTTCTATTAAGAACAAGGTTTAACACCAGAAGTTGATATAATTTTGTTGTGTTCATTTAATTGCAGATATTAAGATAAGTTTAGTGGTTATGCAGGCGTGTCATCATCTGTAAATATGTCATTTTATCTTGTGCCCTTTTAGATGAATGTGTGATCACCTTTCTCCATATGCGCATGTAATAACACCTGTCAAATGGGAGGATGCTTGGCACTGGAGTAAATCAGCTGTTGCCTTAAGTGGAATTTAATTTGTAACAACAGACCTATTCAAATGAATAATCAATGTGTGGAGTCAGTATTTATTCAGTGGTTGAGCTCGAGTGTCCCTTCTGTATGGAGTTATGTTTGAATAGTGTTTGGTCTGTTTTTGTTGTGCCTTAAAATGAACAGAGCTATGTTTTCCAAACAGTGAAATTTCAGTGCATTGAACACGAAGAGGGTAATCTGAGGATCGATAAAATAACCAGTGTAATCTCTTTTTAAAACTGGCATAGTGACAGGAAAAGATGTAGTTAAATGAACTAATAACTCATGAATAAATGAAATAATTGAACACCTGCTGTTGTGTTTCCAACAGCAGCCTCTGTAGGTTTCTGTCAAACAGACTTACTACTAAGTGCAGGGGTGTGGCAAGTTTGGAAGTTAATAGCAGTGTTTGCAGTGTCGTAAATTGGAAGTGAAAGCAGCCCTACAGCTGTTCATGATTTAATAATAGGTTTAATTTAGAGTACAGTATGTGTGCAGTGCCAGTCTTAAAGAGTGGTAGTACAAATTCAGAACATCACAGTTTTACTGCTTTGATAGTCTTTTCTTTTCAGTATTCTTTAACGTTTTTGAGTCACTTCTAAACCAAGCTCCTTATCTAAGGTTGTCTGCTAAGGTTGTCAGCACTAAGTGTCTATTGTCCACTCAGTGCTGACTCTGGTCTCTATGGAAAACTCAGAGACTACCAGGGACCAAGGTCAGTAACAGATATAACCATTGCTAAGGCAACAAAGCAGAGAACAATATTACATCCTTTTCTTTTATTCTAGCTCCACAGTTGTTGCCTGTCTCCTGTGGCATATCCAGGTCTCCAATGAGCTCTGACATGACCGTTATCTGGAGGTGATGTAACTGGGTCGAAGTCTGTTGCTGTGTTTGACGGTTTTGTTGCATTGACTATGCAGGATTAGCAAAAATGTCAACCAAGCAGACACATTGCTGCTCCATTACTTGACAGGAGCTTTGCATACAGTGTAACTGTATCCTGTTTGCTGTTGCAGTGAGAAGTTCCCCTCAGGTCATAATCAAAGAGGCATGTCAGCTTATGTTTGACCCTAATTACATCCAGGAAGTACATAAAAAAACAACACTGCGTTAGATCTACAAATACCTATTGTGTGTGCACAGTCTTACCCTCACTACGTACTTCCTGCCCCCCTGCTTGGTTGGACATTCTGCAGTGTTAAGGCCACAGGTCATGTTAAATGTCTTGCTGTTTCGTTGACAAAAATGTAACATTCTGGGAAATGAAATGCAACCTAGAGCTCACAGTACCCAGGAGGGTGTTTTATCCACTTAAAGGTCATTAAATGCACAGAAACTCTGGTTCTCCAGAGAGAGGGGCCTGCAGAAACGGAGCTCCAGGCATTACACGGCTGATTATTCTCAGGGGAAATGGGCTTTGAACCTTTGGTCCTTCTTTGGGGAATGGACTCTGTGGCTCCCAGTCAGCTTCTGCTGTTGTGATTCCCAACGTTTCTGCTTCATAAAACCACAGAGGAAAAACATTGTTAGACTCAAGATACCATTGACGTGCATTCCCAAATCAAGATGCAGTAGAGCTGTTACGGCGAGTTACTTAGGCAGGGCTTGACAGTGCAACCATTTCACTCACATTTGCGACTACAAATAGATGTGTGTGAATTTTTTAAATGTGTTTAGGGGCACACATGCGCTTAAAAAAACCCCAAATGTTTTTTCATGTAAATACCGCAGTGAAGTTAGTTTAAGGTTGGATATCAGACGGACATTCACTGTGGATCTACTGGTGTCTTCTTACTCTTCATAACCAGTAATAGCAACAGCAGCACGGTCAAATCTACTCGGCACCCTCGCTGTCAACATCGGGTGTTGAATAAGGGACCATCAATTAATTACCTGTTTACGTTCTCAGAAAAGGCTGTTTTCCATCAATAGCTTCCATGTCATGTGACCAATTGACCTAAAATTGATTTCAAATAATAGTACTTATGCTGACCAATAAGACACACATTATTTGATCAATTTCCCTTGTGCCGCTTAAGTTTTTCGTGCGCTCCTTACTTTTTCAACTTGGGAGCACATGTGCCAACCCCATCAGGAACACATTACTTGCAACGTTGTGGAAGAACATAGCATTTTACAACAATCCAAAACTAATAAAGTGCTGAGGGACATTGGCTGCAACCAGCTGCATCAACTTTCAAAACAGCAGTCTGGTCAAATTCATAGTGAACATGGAAACTTGAATCAGTGCATTTACAGAAGGGAAGTACTCTGTCACCCCCTCTCTTATTGCCTGCAGACCTTGTGTGGTGTGTTACAGTTAAAAAGTGTAAAATGGCAGAAAGCACCAAGACATTGATTGGTTTATAGTGCTAACTGTTTGGATAGTCAACAAATAAACAATTATTTAAATGATTGATAGACTGAACAAAGGATGAATGATAAATTCGCTCATACTTAGGTATAAGCGTTAAAATATAACATTACTCCTGCAAACATGAAAAAAAAAAATCAAGTTGGTCATAGTTTTTAAATACAGCATAAATGTTTCATTGTGTAGCGTGGTTACTAACATGGTGAAAGTTTGGTAGGACAAATGGAATAAACAAATAAAATGGGGAATAAGGATGAGGTACTAGAGTAAAGATTTAAAGGTGGGGAAGTGAAAATTTAATATTTGCAATGAGTGGTTCAGACTTTGGGCTGTTGGTTTGAATGTCATTCTTCATTTGTAACAGAGAAGTCCAATGACCCTACCTTTTAGGAAGTTCCCATGCATTACTGTCATGCTCCAGTGATATACAAGGTCTCCCATACACATTTAGCAGACAGCTCTTTTCTCTGCAGTTTTGAGGCTGAAATACTCTTGGACGTCAGAAGTTTTGGACTCGGTGTGTAGTATTGAGCTCTGCTGTGTTAAGGAAGAACAAGAGGGGTCTCTTTTTTTAAACCACAGAAGTCCAGAAAATAATGGATCGTGTGCACACAATATGAAAACACATGCAAAGACATCACTATCTGTAGTGTCAGCAATTGAACTTGTTGGCATCTACTTTTGCATTCATATTTATGTAAACTGTGGAGACTACCATTGCACCCATATTGGAAATCTGGTTGTGGGCATTGGTTTTACATGAATCGAGGAAGAAAATCTAAAAGTGGTTGGCAAATATGCCTCATGATTTCATGAATCCCATTTCAAAGAGCACCTCAAACGTACAACCCCTTTTGTGAGTCCAGGTAGCGCTCTTTTCCCTTTTTTTTTTCATTGGTTGGCAAATATGGTTGGGCAGATAAAACAAAAAAAAAAAAAAAAAAAAAACTTGAGCAGCATGCTCAAGTATTCATTGTATGGTACTTGCTTCTTCCTAGAGGCTAAACCTGGGACTCAATGGCTCACTATTATCAAATCAAATTTTATGTAGCGCCAAATCACAGCAGTCATTATCCCAATACGCTTTCCAAAAAAGAGCAGGTCCAGACCATGCTCATTGTTTGATAAAATTATAATAACTAATAACTATTATCAAATTCAGTCAACACAACAGCTACTGCCATTGGTGCATGCCAGATTGTCTCTTTGCAAGTTCTTCTGCTGCATAGACTTTCTTCTCTCATCTTCAGGATGAGGCCTTTTCAGTTGGTGAAAGTATTTGTCAATGCTCATCTGTGTGAGTGAACATCCAACATCAGAAATCAAGTGTTTAGATCGGTGCTACCTTCCATCAATGGAAAATCCTAATAACAAATTTATGTTTGAAGACTGATGCTTAAGTTGCCAGTTAAGAGAATGTTACTTCACTTAAGGTGACCTCAGTTTACAGATAAAGTATGTCTCTACAACAAAAACAAATTCATGATCACTATCTTATGGCTGAGCTTGTAAAGCAATGGTTATTGAGATGAAATAATGAAAACATCCCCACGTTATCTATTAAAATTTTTAATTATTTGCATCTGTTGTGGAGGATTCCATCTTCATAATGTAAATCTCGTTTGGCTCTTGACAGCCACTGTTGCCTCTGTGACAGGTTAGGTTTGCAAAGAAACCTCTTATTCGAGAATCCTAGTGCGAGATGTCGCTAAATACCCACATTCTATAGAAGGGTTTAACAGTCTGCGTAACTCCCCCCTCTACTGCATGTTGTCTTCAGAAAGAGAGTAGCAAGAGATTATGTATTGTGCTGTTGGTTACACAAACTATTCTGATAACAACAAAACGCGCAAGTTGTACTAAACCATCAACTCGCACCCATTTCAAGGTAAACAAGAATGTATTTGGTTGCTAGCCATCAGAAGAGTCATACTCATAGACTGTATATAGAATGGACAGAGTCTGCCTCCTTGCTGGATGAAGCCACTCCGAGAACAGAACCCTCTGTTGACAGGCTGCAGTATAGGTCATAAATCCCGCCTCCTCCAGCAATCCTTATGGAGCTGTGGACAAACTTTAGAAATGTATTACAGAGAATATAGAATTTTCTCCCCCCTGCTTGCGGTGTTAACATGTAGTTATTGTAAGACTGGTTTGTGCTCGTCTTCTTTTTTCTGTGAAGCTCCATTTTTAAAAGTTTTTAGGGGGTTCATGTTTTCTATGATTGACACATGATACAGCCTACTGGCGTTCAGGGGTTGCGTAACTCACCCGGGGGATACGCTGTTTGAGCCGAGCGTCATCACAGCGACTCTCGGCGACTCTCCCGCCATGAGCTGGCGGTCCAGAGTTTTTTTCCGATATGACGTAGTTTGTAAGCAACAAGCCTTTTGTGGGCACTAGTGAGATAGCAAGATTCCTATTCCAAGTGAATGGAGCTGCTGAAAACATGGGGTGGTCTCCATATTTGGAGCTTGATTGTGATGTCATACTTTAAAGTAGAAATGTGGTTTGAACTCTGACCTTTAGATGAGACCCGAACCGAAGATTTCAATATCTCTTTCGGTTTTCCTACAAAGTGAGTTTGTTTGGGCCAATCCTGTTCTAAGCAGACAGAGGCTCAGTGAGGCAAAGTCTGTGTCACAGGGGAGCTGCAGGTGCACTGTCACCATGGAGACGACTCCCATTCAGAGCACAGGGCCCGCCCACCTGGTCTTGATTGACAGCTGTCTTCCAGACACCACAACACAGAGACAGCCGGATTGCCTTGAGTTTCAAGTCAGATTCATAACAAAGGCCCTAAATCATCAACGCTTTGACATATCAACACCATATTAGACACGTGCCCTCACAACCCCACTCTGAAGACATGTCCCACTCTGCAGTCGTCTTGGACAACCCCACCATCCCCAAACAGGAAATAGCCCTTAACGCATTAATGCCCTCTTGTATCTCCACCCAAAACATGGCCTAAATATGAGTAGCAGCGAATTGGCAAGCGAGCAGGCTTTCCAATTTGCTGAAATTTTGCCAATTCAAAATTTCCCTGGAATTTTCTAGTTTTGTAATAGTATGTCCTGTCAATGTACAGGCATGTTTAGGCGGGACCAAAACTCATGCATTATGAAGTGTGGCATATCTTCTTCTTTGGTTTTATTGGCAGAGTTACGATGCATATCGCCACCTACTGTACCAGCGTTGTAATGAAATGTTACACTCACAGACTGTCTGAGGTAGCGTCCATCGCAGAAGAATCTATTTGTGGTAAGCCGGCACAAATAAATGAATGTGTGGGAAACACTGAACAAAGTTAAAGACTTAACTGACACTAAAACACATCAGAGGTTTATTATACATTATACTATTATTGGAACAATTTGTTGTATGTATTTATTACAACAAATTGTTCCAATAACAGAGGAGTCTGTCAGGAATGTGGACTTGTGTGTATCTGGTTTTAACACGGCTCCTTACTGGATGACATTACATCTGAAGTTGAAGCAGGTTCAAATGTTGTGGCTAGCCCCTTCTTGGGTAAATTCCTCTTAGACTATCTGACTAATTGGTCTTAACATACAACCCCCATACAACACAATAACCACTCTACACTGCTGTATAGAATCATATTTAATGAAAGAATATACAACTTTCTTTGTAGTAAACCTTAACACTAGGGTAGGTTAAACTAGGTCAACAGCTGTCATTACTCCCTGGATCATTTAGCAATGAAATAATTTTCAAAAACAGAGGTTGAATAAAGCCCTCATTGTAGAGTCCAAATCCTGTTTGAGCTGTCTTATTAAACCACAGTCACATTTCTTGGATGCATGCATCATGTGCACTGAGCTGCAGAGTAAAGGATGAGTGATGATGAGTGTTTGCCTTCAGCACTGATGAATCTCTCTCTCTCTGTTTTCTAGGCTAGCTGTGTGCGTGCTGACCTCATGGTGTAACAGGAGTAAAGATGAGCATTAGCAGTGATGAGGTCAACTTCCTGGTCTACAGATACCTACAGGAGTCAGGTATCCTTTCAACACCTTGTGTTCATTCTGCATACATTTTTTTTTCCTCTTTGTAAAAAACAAATTGTAACTGGTATGCTGCAGTGGTAAGCTTTTAATGCTTTCCAGTGTTCATATACGAGGCAATCCTGCCCCCCCACACCCCCCACCCTACCCACAATTAAAGCCACAATTCAATGAGTTCTTCATTGTGATTTAGTTTTATCTGGAAGCTGTTGCATGGATTTTGGAAAGTCAGAAACACAATGAACACAAGTCAACAAAAGTGATTTTTTATAGGTGGTCCTTATGATCAGAAATGTGGGTTAACATCTTTTTCAAAACGAAGGAAGACATCTGGTCTTGAGGAATGCAGTGATGATGAGAAATATTGCAGTTCCTCGAGAGTCTTATTAAGGCAAGAACCAAGAGGACCCCATTATCAGCCAAGTTAAAAGGCCTTTCTTTTGAAGGAATAGACACATTTACAGCCAGTTGCACAATATGCTTTTGGTCTGTTTGACTGCTTTTCAAAAGATCTACTTCACAAGAATATCTTGCATGATGTGCAAATGTTTAAACATGTTCAAATTTTGCAATCATATGTCTGATGGCCTTTTTCCAGGCCTTTTGCAAAGGTCCCGCTGTGAATAACAAAGGTAGACGGGGTTGAATACTTGCTGTTGCGCTGCATGAGGGGTTACATTTGAAGAAACAGTCTCTGCACAATTTTAGTATATCACTGGCAAGTTTATTGCAATGTGCCAAGCAGCTAAAAGCATCAATCCAGGGTTTCGAAGCAAGTATGGAAATGTATGGAAAAGTATGGAAATAAATGTGATCAATTTCCAGGTCTTAAAAAGTATGGAAAAATATCTTTGTTTCCAGACTATTACCCCAGTTCTAAAATGCTGTTTTCTAAAATAAAAATTAAGGGTAAAAAGCAGGGTATGGAAAAGTATAGAAATTCTAACTGTGTAGGAACCCTGTTAATCCTGTGTCTCTACCAGTGTCTGTGTGCCTCAAGCTATGTTGGGTTAGCTCTTCAAATATGCAGCAGCCATCAATTGACCCCAGACTTCCTCCTCTAAAACCCTTGAGTTGCATCACATAGACTACATCCACTCCTGACACAGCCTGTGAGATGAAGCAGCCATCCGAAAGCTGCTTGTCAGTTTGTTGGATTGGCAAAGACACATCAGTCTCTCCATTTGTGTCGTTTGTCTGAAGTGCAAAACGCAGAGTTAGTAGAACAGAAGTAGTACATCCATTTATTAGAGATTGACTATGTCTTTAAACCGATGGTCAGAAATAATAACTCTGAATACTGAGAGGAGCTGCCAAAATTGGACTGAAACTGTTCATTCACCAATAATGGCTTTTCTGTCTTAAATTCACTTTAATTTTTTATTGCATAATATGCTTAGCAGTGACCGTTGGCTCATATGAAGTTTGAAAATCCTATTATGTTTTTGTTTACTGTATTATTTTTATTACCCAATGGAGACATAGTTATTGATATTCATGAAAGACCTCCCCCAGTGTCACAACACAAAAAGTTTCCCCAAAATATTAAAACTAATTTCGTAACTCTCAAATTCTGACAGTGGATGTTATTTTTCTCCTCCTCTCAGGGTTCTCCCACTCAGCTTTCACATTCGGTATAGAAAGTCACATCAGCCAGTCCAACATCAATGGTGCTCTGGTTCCCCCTGCTGCTCTCATCAGCATTATCCAGAAGGGCCTGCAGTACGTGGAGGCTGAAGTCAGCATCAATGAGGTGAGACGCTGATAAGAATAACCTCCAAACTCTCCTCTTTCCTCCTCTCTTTTGCTCCCTAACCTTGCAGCTGTCTCTTCTACTCCGTAGGATGGCACATTATTTGATGGGCGGCCCATCGAGTCTCTGTCCCTGATCGATGCTGTGATGCCTGATGTTGTTCAGACGAGGCAGCAGGCCTACAGGGACAAAATGGCCCAGCAGCAGGCTGCTGCTTCAGCACCAGCATCGGCCACTGGAGGCAGCATAGCTGGCAACACAAAGAATGGGGAGAATACTGCCAACGGGGAGGAGAACGGAGCCCACGCCTTAGCTAGTGAGATTTATATATGTATATATATATATATATATATTCATTTACTAAAAGGCCTGCAGTGAATAATAAAGACCTGCAGGGTTGCAGCAGGTTGTTAGCTACCATCACTGACAAAGCAAGGGTTCATAATGTGCATACTCTTATTTTGAACTTAGTGGTCAACTGGAAAAATTATGAAGTAAATCTAGAGTTAAGATTTTTTTTTAACCAACAGATTTTTTTGCATCAATTACATATTGTAATTTCACTTAAGCCAATTATAGCTGCGATGAGGGTAGTGTCCTCACAAATCTATTGGTCATGTTTCCCATGGGCCATTCCTTCCTTTTTAACTTGAAACTCTTTGCTTAGACAACCATGCAGACCTGATGGAGGTCGATGGAGATGTCGAGATTCCTCAGAACAAGGCCATGGTCCTGAGGGGTCATGAGTCAGAAGTCTTCATCTGTGCCTGGAACCCAGTCAGTGATCTGCTGGCATCAGGGTAAGTCACATTTCCTCTCCTCTGAGATAACTCTCCCACCCGCAGTTAATATGTACCCACATTTTTGGTCTTCACCCCTTCACAGGGACTAAGGGTAGTCTGAATTATAGCTGACTACAGTAAGATCATATCTAATAGTAATAAGAGCCAAAATAAGACAGTTGGTTTTTCACGTTTATTTACTTTGAACTGGGGCCAATATCCTGTAGATATCTCATATTAACCTCTATTGACCTGCTGTGAAAATATGATGATTGTAAGTTGTCGGTGTATGGATTTAAGCAAATTCTAATTGAACACAATAAAGGATGGACCTGAAGTTTTGTACATTTACATTCCTGCAAATGTTGTGCGCAACAGCACAACAGCTGAATTCATACTGTTGGAGTTGGTCTACCAGTCATAATTTATTTATATTTACAGTACATTTGCAAGCTTGATGGACATGACATTCTGGAAAATAATTGTTGCAATGCATTTCTGATTACTTGTAATTAGAGCTGTCAGTGATAATACATTAATTGAGATTAAGTGATGCCATAAGAAACGTATGTGTGTGTGTGTGTGTGTTTCTCAGGTCTGGTGATTCGACGGCTCGTATCTGGAATCTGAGTGAAAATAGTACAAGCAGCTCCACGCAGCTGGTCCTGAGACACTGCATACGAGAGGGAGGACAGGATGTCCCCAGCAACAAAGACGTCACCTCGCTAGACTGGAATGTAAGCACACACACACACACACACACACACACACACACATGATGTAACGTGAGTCACACTCCATGGCTGCATCCATTCAAAATGTGGAAGCTGGTCAAAGCTGTGGGACTGGCAGAAATATTTCTGAATATCAAAGTGCTGTTTCATGATGATGGAGCTGCCTCATGACATACTTTTTAATCAGCGTTTTTGATGTCCATCACATGACAGTCACAGTCACAGACAACAAAAACAAACAATTCATTGAAATGCTCCCTGCAGCACCAAGGCAAACTAGGACAAACTGAACGTCCCAGAGCGCTCTGAACATCACTGTGGATGGTGTCTAACAGTTGAAGTGTATCAGAGAATGGAATTTTCCTTTAGTCAAGCCAGTGGATTGTAAACCTGAGCCAAGGGCAGAGGCAGAAATTTCCTGGACAGCATCCATGCTGATGGAGAACACAGAACCCTCTTATGATAGCAGCTGAATCACAGTAAATGTCCATTGAGCCAGGACTCTGAAATGCAAATCCTGCAACTGCAAAAGTAAGCTTAGCCACTCCTTATCTTTTTGTTTTGTCTGACAGAGTGAAGGCACGCTGTTAGCAACAGGCTCCTATGATGGTTTTGCCAGAATATGGACAAAGGATGGTGAGATGGCTTTAATTTATTCAACAGAAATGTGTGTGATTTGCCCCTAGGAAACAACATTAAGATGACTGGTTCTTGATTATTTAAAAGTGTATTAAGACACTGTTTAAGCATGTTATAATAGAAACTCGCTGAATGATTCTGCCATGTATACTTGGATGTTATTTCTGGTGTTTTGACAACATGCATGCCACATGGCTTTCAGTGTAAACATGTAACAATACTGCCACCCAGAGGCAGATTTTCACACTGCATACCAAGTCCTGGCTTGATGTCCTCTTGTTGTTTTTCCATATCTGATACCGACCATTTTTGTTTGGCATTGCAGGAAACCTTGCTAGCACACTTGGCCAGCACAAAGGTCCCATATTTGCCCTAAAGTGGAATAAAAAAGGCAATTTTATCCTCAGTGCAGGAGTAGACAAGGTGAGCAAGGGTCTATATCCCAGCATGGTTTTCCTAGGAAGCTATTTGGTATGCTTACAAACAGTGCTGTGTTTAGTCTGCAGTAGCTTTAACTTGACATGGATATGTTTCTTGCCAGACAACAATCATATGGGATGCCCATACAGGAGAAGCCAAACAACAGTTTCCTTTCCATTCAGGTAGTACATTTTTAGTTTTGGACCTGTCTCTTGGGACTATGTGTGGATTTTTAATACAATCTGTCTGTCTCCTCTCACAGCCCCAGCATTAGATGTGGACTGGCAGAGCAACAACACATTTGCCTCCTGTAGTACAGACATGTGCATCCATGTCTGTAAACTGGGACAAGACAGACCCATTAAAACATTCCAGGGACACACAGTAAGTGCCACGTCCTCATCCTCATTACTAATGCATGACGTTTGGAGGGCTTAAAGTCCCTGAACGGGTTGAAATGTGTCACTCTTTCTCACTGATCAGGTTTTTAAATAAGATATTTGAAACATACCTTGTTATAGGTATAATGTATAACTAGTAGTTTTACATTTACATTAATTTTAAAGCAGTATCTTTAGAGAAAAATGGGATAGCAAAAACAAACACTGAATATACGGTGAATTGAACCTAGTCTCTGTTTTACACATTCTGTCATACTCTTGTCATCCTTTTTTTCTCCAGAATGAAGTAAATGCAATCAAGTGGGACCCCACAGGGAACCTGCTCGCTTCCTGCTCAGACGACATGACGTTGAAGGTGAGCTGAGCAAAACCTGGTGAAATATTGCACACCTTCTGTAATCAGTAATACTGCCACTGCTGCCCTTGCAGTGAAAATACTTGCTCATGCAGCATGGTAATTTGTTCATGATGACAAGGGATTATTCATCTCACCTGTTTTTTTTTTTTGTTTTTTTTTTGGTTTCTCCTATAAAGATGGCAGACATTTGAAAATAAGTAGACATTGAAGTAATTACAACAATGTCCTCACCAAATATGCTCTTCTTGCTTCTGATCTGCTTTCAAAAAATCATTTTTTTCAAAATCACTAACCATCCTCTCACTCAGGTTGCTGTAGTTGCTGCTTGTGCTCCATGCTGAGCACACATTCCTAATTCATGTCAGTGCAGAAAAGTCAAAGTTGTTCATTTTTGCTTTTTCTTCTTTTCAGATTTGGAGTATGAAGCAAGACTCATGTGTCCACGACCTGCAGGCTCACAGTAAAGAAATCTATACCATCAAATGGAGTCCCACTGGCCCTGGAACTAACAATCCCAGTGCTAATCTAATGCTCGCCAGGTTAGCATCAGCGATATCATTGATATCCCAGAACAAAGCTACTTCCCAAGCCCATCCTTGGGCTGCAGCATGTATGCAGTTTTAAGTTTGTATGCACTTGTCTAACTTGACAAGCTCAGATTGAGCTGATTTTATGCACAAGTGAAAGAGAACAAGATTTATGCATTTTGTTTGTATGAACAGTTTTCACCCTTGAGCTTTGTGTTGAAGGCAGCTAACTGTTATGCACATTTTTGTACACAGTAATGCGCATTTTCTTTAATGTAGCAGTATCAAAAGCATCCTGACTTTTTAGGAGCCTCCCTTTAGCAATATTCGTCCTTGTCCTCTCTTCCCACAGTGCATCGTTTGACTCCACAGTCCGTCTTTGGGATGTGGAGAGGGGCATCTGTATCCATACACTGACCAAACACCAAGAGCCAGTCTACAGTGTGGCTTTTAGCCCTGATGGTCGGCATTTGGCCAGTGGCTCCTTCGACAAATGTGTGCACATCTGGAATACACAGGTATAAGGAAGGGGAAGAGGGACACCTTACCTTAGCTGTGCACAGTAACAATTGTTCTGGGAAGCCTCTTAACAAAACTTTTGTGCATCCTGAATACCTTCAATTCGAGTTATACATCCTTTGTTGAGCAGGACTTTGCAGGTGTCACAAAGACTGCTCGTGACAAACAAGTGTAGTGCTGTGAATACTTTCTGGACGTGCTGTAAGTCTGCAGCGTTGGTTATCTTGAGGATTAAACTACATCTGTATTTGAACCATTGCTTAAATCTTTAAAGGGTCCCTGAAATCGCAAACTTAAAAAAGAACTTCAAAGTTCCCCTCACAAGCTCAGCCCCTTTAACCTCACTGTTTTTGTTTTTGCTTTCGCTTCAACTCACTTCTGTCAAATGAGTCTCCCCCACCGCCAAACCACAGACAGAGGAGTCTAGATTGGAAGTAAAGTGAAATATCATTTAGCATCTTAGGAGACAGATCTGAAACTGACTACAAGACCATTTGGAATTTCCTCCTGTGGGACTATTAAAGGAACATCTTATCTTACCACGCTGAACTCTGGACAAAGACATAATAGGTGGAGAGGTGTATCACTGCTGCCCCCATGTGGTCGAGGATTATTGCTGCATTTTCAAAAGGCTCTTGAAGCTGTTGTTAAAGAACAGGTTTAGGATCAACTTTAAGATAAGAAGTTTATTAAGTTGTTGGTGAGTGAAGCCCTGTGTTTTATTACAGCCTACCATGTTTCTCCCCCTTCTCACTCTCTGCTTCTCTCTCCTGTGCTGCAGACGGGCGCTTTAGTCCACAGTTACAGAGGGACAGGGGGAATCTTTGAGGTTTGCTGGAATGCAGCAGGGGACAAAGTGGGAGCCAGTGCGTCAGATGGATCTGTAAGTCCTCTCTGCACAGTTTGGATCTGTGACTTTGACTGTAATTGTTCTGTTTCCTTCCTTAAACTTGATCTCTCCTCCTTTGCTCTAGGTGTGTGTATTAGACCTTCGGAAATAGTACTGCTGTTTGTTGGAAGCCATGGACCGACCATGAATGTGTACATAGCCAAATGACTGTCCCTGCCTGCCCTGCGTACTGCTTTCGCTTACGAATATGGCCCCGCCCACCGACAGACAGGAAGCAGGAGGCAGGAAACAGAAACAGGAAGCAAGCACCCGACACAGCAGGTCCAAACACAGGGATGAACAGAAGGACAGGCGGATGGATAAACGGGCAAATGGAGGCGCCCCTCTCTATCTGTGCAGACTCTTACAGAGATGCAGAAGGGACGCCGAGGAAAAAAAGAAAAAACTCAGACAAAAAAAGTTACAGATCCATATATGTACCAAAATTTGGAAGCTTTTTTTTTTTTTTTTTTTTTGATCTTTAAACCATGCTCATCATCATCAAAATGAAAAACAATGAAAAAAGTGTTGATCTTTGTTACTAGTTGGATCTCAATGTGCAGACATATCAACTTCTCCACCATAATATAGGATGGCACTTAGTTTTTTTTAAATTTCAGATCGCTTGTTTTAATGTTTTTATATTTTTTATCTTTGGGGAAGGGGCAGGGGCTGGCCGAGTCAGAGTTTTTTGAATTGGAGAAAAAAACAAGCTCAGACATGCAACCCAAACCGTGTCCTCGTCATGATTTCAAACCCGTACTGGACTTCTTTTCTTCATGTATTGCAGTAATAGTTTCAGCGGTTGTGAGCGAGTCAGACAGTTGACTTCAAAATGCAGTAATTCATGTGTCATTATCTCCAGAGGACAAATCCTGGACTCTTCTTTGTACTACCACCCGCCACAGATGATGATGTACATCTGTTTGAAGATCGGCCTTTCTGTGCACTATTTGTTCAAGATTCTTTGACCCACACTTCTCATATCTGGAGGTTTTGGGCTAAGCAGTTACCACCCGCCTAGAAAACCTTAACTTGATGTTCTAACATGGTTCACTGGGTCTCCTCTCAGATGACATGCATATTTAACTCAGACTCAACACAACACAAATGAATGCAGTTCAAAAAACCTTTGCATTGCTTAAAGAGGCTTTTGTAAGTTTTCCTAATAAAATATCATTTCTAAACTGGTTCATCCTTCGAGGCCTAGACCATCAGGTTAATAGTGCCCCTGACTCAGGTGGTCCAAATGCAAACCACTCCCTTTCAAGTGTTGAGTAGCCTTTAATAGGTCCTTTGAGTTGGTGTAATAGGAATGTCTGAGTGATTGGAGCCTGTCAATGAGGTTTTTTTTGCATGACTCTTGCTGGAAAAGTCCAATGTTTATTAAGTACATGTTTGGTTTTCTTTGTTAAGAAACAAGGGGAAAAAGTCACTTCAGAATCAGATTCATTTTAAGGCTGACTCAAATTCAGCTTTATCCATCAGATAGGAGAAGTGACTTTCCAGTTTTACCACAAAGGTTTGACTGATTTTAGATCATCATGTAGCTGTGAGAAATATCTCTAGTATGAAATATGTCAAATGGATGGGCTTTCCTAGTGTGAGTGATACTGACTCTATTGCAGCACAGGAAGATGGTCTGGGTTATTTCCTTTTTGACATGCAGACATTTGAGTACATGCTCTAACAAAACAAGACTTTTTATTAGAAGTGTTGGAGTCGAGGAGCCTGATGTAAACAGGTCACTTGTCTTTTTTTATTGAACTGAAAAGGCAAACCGTTCCATTAGACTAATGAGTCTGGTTCTGCCTTAGGTTTCTGACTGCCAAAGGGAGTTAATATCTTACTGCTGTAGCTACGTTCTTGCTAATCGAAGGACTTGATGTAATATGAAAACCTTAGCTGGGATTGGGTAACTGGTTGATTTAGAGCTAAAGTTTCATCCGAGTTTGAAATTGAATGACATGTTCGATACACTTTAAAGGGAGTGGTTTACAACATGTATGGCTGTATGAGGTTGACAGGCTGCAAATTCAAAACTGCAATACCCTGTTGAGGTAATTATTTACTCTAATCTTTAAACTGTTTTTTGAACAAAGTCACTTTGCCACTTGGCTAAATCTGGTCTGGTGAATCTTGTGATATATTTTTGAATATTTGATGACACAAATATCTCAATTTCTCTTGAGGATTTAGTGAGGTTTGAAATGCCAACAGGCTGTAAAGGCAGACTGATCATGTGAAGTTTCCTGCCTTTGAACAGACAGCACAAACTTGCTAAAAGTTACAGGTTCATGTTCATGGACACCAGTAATTTTTCCCCTTGTTGAATTCTACTGACTGATCCAAGACCAGTCCAGGAAGCAGTTCCAACTTCAAAGCAATAGGTGTACTTGTCATGATACACTACATTTATGCAGTCCATAACCCAGTTAAAGCAGTAAAGGATACAAAGTAGATGAGGCAATGTCCAAAGAAGCTACAGGTCAAGTTTGAAGTCTTAACACACAACGGTCTTGGTGAATACAAACAGTTCAAAAGTGAACACATTTCAAATTAATCTGCCCTCACTTTGGTTCTTCTCATCACTAAAATTCTGTCTGTGTGTTATTCAGAAGTCCCTCAAAGATGAGACTTTTTATACTCTTTAAAGACAAATTTAAAGTTACATTTTTGTAATTTCTTTTTAAATTTGAAAAAAAAAAATGTGAATGGTTGATTTATTGGCAGTGTTAATTGACATGTTCTGTCAATTTTAAAAGATGTTTTGTTTTGTTACTTTGATGCTATTGCAAATAGTTAAAGGTTGACCATGTAATGTAAGGCTCATTGAGCTGTCATTCTGAAGGCACCTTGTCTGGGGAGAGTTTCCTCACAAGCAAATTACCACTAAATTTGTCCGTGTTTGAATAAAGAGATGTTTTTTCTTTTTTTGGGAACCTTTCTCCCAAAAGACTTTCTCTTGAACTCCTCTTGGCTTACAAAGAAAGAGAATTCAAAACGTAAGCCTTTAAATGGAATAAAATTGTATTTTTCAATCAAGCCAAGACTCAAAGTTTCCTGTTTCCCCTTCTCTTTCATCCACAGTTTGGATTTGTTCAGATAATCTGCAGGCAGATTTGATTTTATTAGTTGAACATGGGCTTGAATTCCTGTCTTGAGTGCAAACCAAAAGTCAAAAATAAAAACCTCTCTTCCTTGAATTTTAGTTGAAAATACATTTTTCCTACTTGCTCTTGGCATCCCTGGGTTGTCTGCAAGCTTGTTCAAAATGGGAGAGTGTAAGCAGTGAATCGCCATGACAACCAAATGGTCAAATGAGGCAGCTAATTTCCAATCTGCAGCTGCCCTAAATCCAAAGGTTCGGATATAAATTTAGACACAAAATAGATTGTCTTTGCCAGTGTTGCTTTGAGTGCTTGCAATCTGGGACCAAGTCATAAAATGAACCTTGGAGTCCAGAGTCAGACTAAAATCATGAGGAACTACAAATGATAATTTTTAGTGATAATTCATATCAATCCAAAAACTAAGCATCTGCCTGCAGAGCACCTCTGCTCCTGACAAGGTTTAGTTATGATTTCCCTCATCATAGATGTAATTTTTCTTTGTCCATGGCCTGAAAATAAAACATTCTTGTATACAAGTGAATGTTTTTTCTCTCCTAAATACATGGCACTTCTGTTTGGCAACTTGATGAGTCCTTGCCATACCCCCGTCTGTTCAGCGCAGTTTGGGGTTGATATGATCAGTTGCTGAGTCAGCCTTTATCTATGTCGCACAACAGAGTATCCCTCTGAGCCCAGCAGCTTCTCTCCCATTGGGTCCCCAGGTCTTTGTTTTTGTTTCTTTCTTTTTGGTTTTCAGCCACTCACACCACATAAAATCTGTTAACATGTAAAGTCAGATCAGTGAAACAAAAAAGTCCAGAATAAAGTATATTTTGATAAGAGTTTGGAGTCTTTATTTGAGTGAATGTGTGTGCACAAGTGTGTTTGTTCAAATACTGTGTATCATTCTTGATGTAATATTTGTACATCTGTGACAATCACAAGTTTAAACCATATGAAAAAGAAAAAGTAAAGGCTTTAACAACCTAAATGAAATGAAAGGGCTTCAAGTCGTTCATGCTAACAAGCTCATGCTTGTGCTTTTTGTGTTACACAGCAGAAGAAACTGAAGAGGCATGCTTATTTGTTTTCTGCATATTTGAAGTCAGAAAGAAAAGCTTTTCGGCACTTGTCTATCAGAGGAGCTGCTACCATCAGGGTTATTTATCCTCCATAGGAAACCTCTCAGCAGCCTGTAGTGGTTACTGCAGAGTTACTGGATTGCAGAAACCACAGCACAGAATCAAAAGCTAAAATATGAAAAGACAGATGAGAAAGGGACCAAAGTTCATCAGATGAGAGAAAAAAAAAAAAAAAAACAATCATCAGAATCATTCACACTTTCCCAGAGCAGACGGTTCAAGCATCAAGGCTTTGGACCATGATGCCCCGGCTGGGATTGGGTTGTGCTTTATCAAAATCAACATATCAAAAAAAGCAATAAGTATCTGAAGAATGACATTCTAGAGGCTAAAAATATTGATTATAGTATTATAACTTTTAGGAGAATAAATAGAGAGGTCCTGCTTGAAAAGGAACATGAGCTCACAGACAAATATTAATTAGTCCTTAAATCTTTGTTTCATCATGGACACCTACACTGAGCAATGATTCTCATTCTCAAGATTGTCACTGTAAAAGCTGTCCATGGTGCAAAGCTTTCAAGTTTAAGTGAGCAAATTAATAAATACTATCATTCAAGTAAAGATTTATATTCTGCAAAGTGCATCTCAAGTCTGTGTTATAGTTTTTCCATTAAAATTATATTTATATTTCCACAACACCAGGGACCAACTGCATGTAGTCTAAACTCAGGGATTCACCTCCTCATTTTTATCAGACTGCTGAGCAGAAACCTGAATGTATATATACATGGCTCTGGTTTTCACCTGACTTTGACAGTTTCACAGACTGTTTCATGTTTATAACCTACCCTACATTCAATGCTAAGAAGATCTGTCTTCAGTCTTGTTGTTGAGGTCCTATCTCTAACCACTACAATGCTATTTTAGCCCATACTAGCACTGGCTGAACTCTAGAGGGTATAGATGCAGTTTCCAAATCAGCCATTGTAAATTATAAATAATGCAAATGCTCATTCCAACACCTTGTATACCTTTCCCCATGTGCCTGATGGGACGATCCTGTGGTTCACAGCTGAGTTCATTTTTGATCTAGAATAAAGGGAGCAGGCCACTGTAGTTGAAAAGAAAAAAAAAGACTCATCAAAAATAGTAAAAGTTGAATGGAGTGCAAAAAATAGCAAAAATGTCCACCGAAGATGGCTCTGGAGAGCATTCAAGTTTATGTTGAAAGAGATATTTCAGTGTCAATTTAAGTTATGGTCAAACACACCATGACACTGAATTAGACACCCCCTTGAGAGATGAATGTTGTCATCTGCTTGCTTCTCTAGTTATACCAACTTTAGTAGCGACTGCACAATAGCAATACACAGTGGTCTTAGCAGCCACTCGCACACCTCAACCAAAAAGCCACTTTATAGCCACAAACAATGCTCAGAACAGCACCTAACTTCATCAACAGTACATATAGAGTCCCAGCCATAGTACTAGCCACCAAACATCTTTTTAGCTTTGCCTGTTTTTTTTTTTAGCAAAGAAACTTAACACAACTTACCCACTCTCCCCCAGCAGTCGCTTGTTTGCGAGGGGGAGCCCTAAAGAGTCGATCGCTAAGTGCAGTGGAAAATTTATGATTATTACTTCATGGAAATTCAATCAGACCGAGGCGCTAAGGCAGAGGAACTACTGTGTCTGCAGTGCACATACAAGATACACAGGAACTCTGATTGCATTTCCATGGAGTAGCAATCATAAATGTTCTTTCTTGAGCTGTGAAACTCTGCTGCACTCTGTGATCGACTCGTCAGGGCTCTCCCCTCATACAAACGGCTGCTGGAGGAGAGTGGGTGAGTTGTGTTTGGTCTCTTTGCTAAAGATACCAGGCAAAGCTAAAAAGATGTTTGATGGTTAGTACTAATGCAGGGACCCTATATGTACTGTTGATGAAGTTAGGTGCTGTTCTGAGCATTATTTGTGGCTTTAGAGTGGCCTTTTGGTTGAGCACATGGCTATCTGTTTTGCTATCTTACGGTTGTTACTGAAGTTGGTATAACTAGAGAAGGAAGCGGTCGGCAACACTCATCTCTCGGGGGGGTGTCTAACTCAGTATTACAGTGTGTTTGACCATAACTCAAATTTATGCCGGAATATCACTTTAAAATGATAGTACAGTTTTAAGAGCTTGATGAAAAGTAATAAAAAAAGCACTTTGTAGCATTCAGGTATTTTGGCAATTTGAACTCCCTCTTGTCCAACTCTGTTCCACCTGCTGTAGATCAGAGCAGTATGGAGAGATTTGCTGCTGTTAAACCCTCAGTCAGATTGTGATAGTGGGCTTCATGATCCTGGCTATAGAAATGCAGGTAGTGAGCCACCTCGGCCAGAGTCTGCAGGACATCGTAGGTGACTGCAAACAAGAAGTAGGTGGGGAGCAGCCAGCTGAGGCTGAAGACACAATCGCCTACTGGCAGAGGGACGGCAATATGCCTAAAAACAACCAAGAACAGAGAAAAGACATTTTCAACTGAAGTGTTACTGACAGCTTAAGGGCTGGTACTGTTGCTCGACATCACTTTGTCCTACAGGGGGCACCAAAGTCAACACAGACAGAAAGTTCCTCAAAGGAGCTTTAAATGAGCTTGAAATGAAATGACAACAGTGATCAGATTACATCCATCTTCTTTGGTTAAAACCTCTCTGCCCTTAGTTGCTAACAAAATGAGAAAGTTAACCTTGAGTCTGAGCCAAGTTTCAGGTCTCCATTGCTCAAGTCAGACTTGGGTCTGAATCACTAGAGACAACACTGAGTCAAGTCCCTGTTGCATAAGTCCAGTTCCAAGTATGAGTCCCTGTTGTCTAGGTCTGAGTCAAGATTGAGTTCCTGTTACCTAAGGATTGTTTAGGGGGGACCACTGTTTCACTAAAAACTATTCACTGTATGGGTCTAAACTGGGTGTTGGACTCTCTTAGATGAGTTCAAATCATATGTCATTAACATCAAAATTTGACTGACCCTGCTGGGATTAAGTTGAAACTCAGTTTTCACCAAGGCATGATCACTGCAGGTCTCCAACAAACTCATATACCTGCAACCTTCCTGTTATTTATCAGAATTTGAACAAACCGTACAACCTAAAGTGTTACTGTGTGATCAAAAGTCAGAGAAACATTGTGACAGATGTCTGTCAAGATTTCAGCTTTCTCTCCGTCTCCTTATCTTCATATCCAACACGCTGCACTACTTTTGCTTACGTTGTTACACATCTTAAAGCATTCTGCAGCTGAAGACAAATGAAAGTGATTTGAAATAGAACAACCTCTGTTTTTCAAAGTGCTATAAAAGTAAAGCTATAATAATAATAATAATAATAATAATAATAATAATAATAATAATTATTATTATTATTATTATTATTATAACAACTATGATAATTTAGATATAGAGGGGAAAAGTCTTTGTGAATGAGTCTGATCTCTCTTTTCAATCCTCTAAAGCAGAATGTAGTCAATGTCCAAAGCAGGATCATCAAAGCTCAGGTCAAAGTAGAGTCATGTGTACATGAGTACAACACTGATAGTGTTTAAACTTTTTAAAAGTACGTTGTGTAGAAATGAGAATTTAAAGCCATATCTGGCAGTCATAGATTCAAATGCTCCCCTGCTCCACCTCTCCCTCATGACTGTGGCCTTTGAGGACAGCTGCTATGATGTGAAGGTCCGATACGAGAATGAAAACTTGCAGTATTCTAGTGGTTGTACACTACTCTTTAAATACTTATATCAGTAGGGGAGACTGGGGACAGTTGCTACACTTTTTGCTTTTCTCTTAATTACTCAGAGATGATTTGGACAAGGCCAACCTGTTATTTACATAGTCGTGATGCAAATCAGTGTCTGCTCTGCTAAATGCCCTACACTACACACTGTACATTAAAGGCTTATTCTACGTTCGGATTATAAAGTTAAGATTTACTTATTAGAATGGTGCCAAGCCAGCAGACTGTGATAACATGGTGACTGAATACATACTGGAGCTGTGTGCAAGAGGAAATTACTGCTGGTGACACCTGATCTCTGGCAGAAGTAAGCTACATGTAACAGAAATAACTACAGCTATAGATGTAAAAAAAAATAATAATAAAACCCTTGTTCTGTGCAAAAAGGCAAAATTTAAGTTAACCTTTTATTTTCAAAGCTTTTTAAATCAACTGTTCCTTATTGAACTTTGGTTTGGTGGACATACTCAGACCGATGTACTCACTGGAATCTGTCTTCTCTGGATTCTCTCAGCATGATGAAGACAAACAGTCCAACTTCAGTGTTGAGGGAGAACGAAACAACTTTGTCCAACATGACAACAAAACCCTGAGGAAAAAAAGAGACAGAGACAGAAAACACCTTCATCATCATGGATCATTACTTTTTCAGTGTGTGTGTGGTTGTGTGTGCCTGTTTTATCACTCACCCTGGGGTCACACACTGACACGATAAAGATGACCATAAAGCCGAGCAGTGACATGAATCCTTTAGCCATGCTGCCGGAAAGACAGAGAGGGGGAGCATCAACACATCCTTAAAGTCAGAGTAAACATCTGAAAAAGGTACAGGAGAGTTTTACCATGACTCTAAGCCAGACCACTCAACAGAATAAGTAGGAAAGTTGTGGGCAGAGACAAAGAAAGAACATATTAGTAAACTGACTGCGACATCATTTCATTTCATTCTGTTCAAATATTAAAAAGTGACATTTTTAAAGACCCCTGCCTGCCTAAAGGACAAATCCTTAACAATGAGCAGAAAGTCTCATTTTTTTAATAAATGGTAGTTTTGGCTGCAGCATCGCATGAGTTTTACAATGTCAGGGGACAATGAAAAAAAGAGGCTTTCATGGTTTAAACTTATGTCCTGTGATTTTGACATTAAGGCTTTTAAAGGTGAATAGTTAAAACAGCATGACCATTATGTACCAGATTTGTGGAAATGATAGTTTCATGACAGTCCTTCAGCATCACCAGTCAGTAATCTGGATGGCAGATTAATCAGGTTTTGGGAATTTAAAAAAAGGTCCTTGTTGTCTAATGTACCAAACTCCTTGCCAAGTTAGATGAAACACCTTTCAAGAGGTTGGAATGAGATCATTTAGTAATAAACACTATTAAAATGAGAATATTAAATGATAATTGCTCTTCCAGTTTGACCTGGAGTTACATTGGCAATGTTGCTATTGAAAATTGTTGGATTTAATCAGCAGGTGAGGTCATCTTATAACCAAACAAAGATAAACGAAGAAAAGAAGTGGTCTTGCCAAGCTTCACTTTTACTGTAAAGTTTGTCTGGATGAATCACTTTGTGCCAGGATCCCATAGTTTGAAAGGTTTTCTGCTAATGCCTCCTATTTCATTCCTTGTACCCGCTTCTGACTCACCAGATCAGTTTTTTTCTGTTCCAATGCTCAAAGGAGCTTAGTCCACCGTTCTGTACCCTGTTGGCAGTGCTTCCTTTCAAACAGAAGCTTCAGTGCCTTTTTCTGTCATTGTTAGCAGATAAAACAAAAGAGGAGGCAACTTTCAAACTCATTAGAGAGCTATGTATGGTTTTCTGCTCCAGGAGGGGTACAAACTTGTCAGGTTGGAGAAAAGGTAAAGGCACAGTGTCTACTGTCTTTGAAACTTGGGATACTTGTTCATTTTGAGTACAATAAACAATCAGACAATAGACGATGTGCAAATACGCAATGACAGACTCAAAGTAAATGTTGTTGAGTACAGTGCAATATTTAAAGCACATGTTTATAAAGTGCCATTTGAAATGTAAGGAGAGAATTTTCACACAAGTGCATGTTGCAAACACAAGTCATTCACCTCAGGTTATTTATCAAATACGGAGCTCATGGATGTAGGAGCTGTGCAATCTGATTTATTAGAGAGTTTTTGTGTTTTTTCAAAATGTTCATGTCAAGACCATCATTATCCTTTTCTTTGGAGCTGTTCAGTACAGCTATGATATTGGCTACTTCTGTTTCAGATATCAAATCTACCATCAAAACAGGATGTGTGTAGTTATAGGGGATGCACTTATCATCTGGTGGATTTAATGTTTTGGATATTTCTAGACAGAATTTATGAAGTCATGATTCAGTTCAGGAGCAAGGGTGATATGACTTTTCTCCAGCTTAATATTGACAGTTATCTTTTTCTTGATCATCAAACAATGAGTGTGGTCCAGACCTGCTCTTGTTCCTTGAAAAGCACCTTGAGATGACGACTGTTGTGAATTGGCGCTATATAAATAAAATTTGATTGATTGATTGATTGATTTTTTTGGTGTGTCTTCCAGTTAATTTGTTAATATTAATCCAAGTCTGTTTACCATTCCCCTTTGCATTTTGAATGACAGTCATGAAAAAATGGCTTTAGCCTCACACAGTGCCTGTGTTACCATGTTTCTTGCAGATAGAAGTTTTTGTTTGTCTGCTCTTAGACCAGGGTTATTTTGAGCAGCTGACCTCTATTTTTGATTAACTGTTGACCATCTGTAGTTAGCCACGGCAGATTTCCTTTTCTTTTCCTTTGGCTCCTTGTTACGGAAAAAGTTGC